TTCACCAGAATGCTCTGACTTGCTGAAGAGAAGAACAAGAGCTCAGAGAGCCTGATTTGAACCAAAATTTTGTCAGGAAATACTGGAAAGGGATCCAGCTGAAGAATATCCCTACGCTACTGTGCATACACATATGTACCAAAGCACTATTCTGGGCAGTTGGCCAACACTTCCCCTCAAAATAGGGCCTTGGGTGTAGAGAGAGAAAATAGAGTTGTTTTTTTTCAAGCTGGAAAATCATCATGCATTTGTATTCTGTGAAACTTCAACTCACATAGCTTTGCCATATCTGAAAATGAGATAATAATGTATTGTTCTATTTGGCTTAAAAATCTCAGTGCAGTTTTGTCGACAGTACTAAACCATCCAGTTATACACTGCATAGTTGAGAATTTCACTCCTAATCTTCTGAAGGTGTCCTGTTCTGGCTGACTTGGATGTCATAGGAATAGCCAAACAATATGCACAGTTGGACCTTCCAGCTTTTGCTTTGGGGTGCCTGTTGCTGATTCCTCAGTCTGAGAAGCGAGAGCAGCAAATTAAGGTAAATATTAAGTTCTGTGTTCTATCTCTGCAAGAGAAATGTCTTTGAGCATGTTATGTTCACCAGAAACTGTGAAAGATGGTAATTTATAATTTCAGCTTACTTAAATATGTCACTGCTGACAGGTGCTTGGCATTTCTCACCCACAAAGGCTGTTGCTCTGACTTTGTCCTTCTGAAAGGGATCATGTGAGCACTTCCTCATGTTTGTTGGTTTTTTTCTTTGTTTCATTTTGTTTTTAAAAAGCAAAACCAGCTAGCTTCAAGTCATTCTCAGCAGCTTTGTCATATGACATTGCCTTTTGTGGATTTGAGGATATTTTAGGGGATCCCACCCATAAAACTCATTAAAGAAACCCTACAAAATCCAAGCCGTAGGCATATTCCTGCCAGTGCAGCATGAAGTTGATGATAACATGCATAGTTGCTGAGGAGCTACCAGTGGGCTAGTTTCACAGCAGATTATAAGAAAAGTACTGAATCCTACTTCAGAAAAGTGTTAAGTGAAAGCTCCTGACTTCTTAGAAAGATGCTTGATACGCATTACAAGTTCTGATGTAAACCTTTTGCCTTAAAGCCATATCCTCACTGTTCATGTATCTTGACAGTTTCCCTTCTCTTCTGTTTCCATTAATTTATGCTCAGCATTGTTCTCCCAGATGAAGCATGATAGGTTGTTCCCATATTTGTCAGGAGCAAACTGGCACTACTAAAGGCATATTAAATTCTTAGTCTTCCAGGCATTAAAGTTAAGCTCAGAAACATTTCCCTAAATCCCAGCATTAGTGCAAGACATTTAGTCTGCTGGCAATGAGTCAAAAAAATTGGTAACACCTACAGCAAAATACCCTTTGAGAGTTAAAAGCAATGAGTACTACTCTTTCACACAAACTGCACAGATCCTGGTTTGATAATTTCATGTTTGTACCTAGAATTTCAAAATATGAATTGTTCCTGACTCAGTAAAATACTTCTTCTGAAGGGAGAGTTTCTACTTTAATCATTCACAGAACATTAACATTTTGTAACTTATTTTTGCAAGGGTTTCTTATCGACATGTAACACAGAAACTGTGCTGCAACAAATAGATGAACACATGAACACTGGAGAAGTGGTGGCATTTGCTTCTCAGGTAAATCAATAAATTTTACTTCACTTGCCGTTGGCTTTTTTGATACATAAGTGTACACAGAACCCTCTTCCTCTCCTGGTCTTGCCAAGCATTAGCTGACATAATGCACACTTCTAAAATACAGCAACATTTTCAGGGAACTTTGCATTTTTATTATTCAACTGAAAAACTTACTGTAGGTATATACATAATACTGTGTTATAGGCTGATCCTGTGTGTAGGACAGGATTGTTTGCAGCAGTACTACTTTGTTTTTCTAAATAAATGTTTTAAGCAAAAAGGTTTAGTGAAATGAAACTGCACTCTCTCCCGCCTTGCCTTGGGCTGCCTTCCTAAGGGCAAGTTTCTTAACTCATTGCCCTGTCTAAATCTGAGATTAGACTTCATAAAATCTGCCATTTCACAGCTTTAAAAAAAAAAAAAAATCTTGCTCTATGGGAGTTAGAGCTCTTTTCATTCAAAAGTAAAAATTTTTAATGTTTAAAATAATAATACTTTTCCATTACTAAATCTTAAATCTACAGATTAGATCTTTGGTTTTGGACAGTATCATAAATGAGAAGCTATATGAAAAATTCTTGAAAACTAAGTATTTTCCACTGTTGAAGCAACAACTGATGAATACTCACCGAATAAAAGAACTGGTGGATTATTTTGCCAAAGAGAACTGGTAAGTTAATAAGACAGGTGATGCGTGATTGAGAGCAGTTGCAGAGGAATCTATTTTATTTTCATTTATTTGAAGTCATGGAGATTTTCTTGTACTTAGTCTCCAAGAATTTTGGAACTATTGCTAAGTTAAATAAATAAATAAAATAAAACCCTCAGCTCACTACTTTGCATAAATAGGATAGTTTTACAGTGTCTTCAAGCCAAAGTAACCTGACAGAAAAAAAAAAAATGCTTTTGCTTTGAATCGCTTCACCTTACCTTCAGATGAACTCAGTTTAGTGGCATCATGGAGTCACAGCTTCAGCAGTAAGAACACTGAAAAAATAAATGAACTGCTTGTATTCAAGATTTAGAATTTTTGCAGCCAAGTTTTTCAAGAGTTAGAAACAGGTCTTACATTCCACTTAAACAAAACAAAGGGTCTCACCGCTGACCCTGCTGCAGGGCAGTTCTCAATCAGTGAGTCACAGCACTCAGGCTCATTGCGCACAGCTGTGAACTTGCATTTCAGACCTCACATACTCTGCAATGTGAGTCACTTGGTCACCAATAAGGAAAATGTTTAAATTCTAGTATGTATTGGGTTTATTAACAGCCACAAGTTAAATACCAGGCTTGTCATGGCTTGTTTTCCTCTACTGGGAAACAACAGGACCTATCTGAATTCAGAAATATGGGGTCAGACTGTAATTTTATACTTCAGTGTATAATTTCTTGGCTTTTTAGAGAACATGGTGACAAAGTTGATAAACTTTTGCTTCCTATAGCATTGATGATGCAGCAGCCCTAATTCGAGAATATCAAGAGAAATGTGGGAATCCTACTTGGGTAGACATACCATCATCTGATCTCCTGAAGGTAAACCACTTTTGTATCTCATGCAGTATTTTCTCCTTTTTTTCTAAACTAAGGCTTTCACTCAACTTTTAGCAAAAATACTTGTTAGCCAATTTGTTTTGGTAAAATATATTGTATATAAATTAAAAATCCCATTGTTAATTCAAATAATTCATTGTATTTGAACCAAATCTGTGCTGTGCTAAGCCTTGTGCTTTCAAGTACTTTCACAGGTCTTGGATTGTATCCTGTTTTCCTAAGCCCTATTAATATTCTCTTACCTTCCAGATGTATCTGGATGGACCAGAAGAGACCTGTGTACTAGAATTTTCATCGGAAAGGTCTTGATTTACCTTTTTCTCCCTCTACTGGCAAGATGAAGGCCATGCATTGAGAATGTTCATACTGGTCAAGTGAACGTTAAACTAAAACCCCAGTGCTTTTACCAAAAGCTACCCCAAGCTTTCCACATTTTTACCTATTTGAGGCTGTTTCTTCTTCATACTTTAGCCCCATTGAAACAATTTAGATTTATAGCAGAACTTCCTGTTGCTATTCAACAGTAAAGTTCATATTCAGCACATTGATTTTAGGAGGGAGTAGTTTATCTGCTTTACTTCCATATTTCTCCATGTTTAAGTCTGCTAAGATCTCCTTCACGCAAATGTAACCTTGCACAATTGTGATAAACTTTTTTAAAACTGTAAGTGGTATGCTTCATGTAGAATAAATTTTTGTAGACAAATTGTAATTTTAACTATAGTGAGCAAAAAATTAACATATCAATTTTGGCTTTACAACATTCTGTAAACACTTTTAAATTATGAAGTTGTCAGTAAATTGATGTTCCACTCAGTCACTAACCTTTGAATAACGTGTGCCAAGGTTTTCTTTTCAACTTTGTTCTTTCTGTATGTCTGCAGCAGGATAAAGCAGGAGGCATGTGTTTCACTGCATGAAATAGCAGTTAGCCGAAGGTTCCCGAGATACCAGGCTGAAATGCTTGGTCTTTTTCTAAAGTAAATTGGGTTTATTTTGAATAGAAAAAAGCTATTATTTAGTCAGCTTACGACGCAGAAGTAAGGGTTCTAGCTGATCCCTTATGTTCCATGGAAAACCATTAGTTTAACTCAAACCTTCATGACAAATGCTGCACAGCTTTTTGCACAGATACCGCACTGGAAAAAAAACATACTAAAAGGCCAACATCTGCCAAGGAAACAGGGCACCATTCAAAAATCTTCTTCTGTAGAAGACAAAAGATAAAACTCTGTTTTTATTGGAAAGTTACCAGTCACGGAAAATGGGAGCTTTTCAAATACACTCAATTCCCTGCAATCAGGAGAAGGGCCAAAAGATTCAATCTTCCTAAACAACTGATATTTTAGTCTTCAGTAGCAGTATGTGTATCACGTGGAATTACATTATTTAAAACCTCTGTAAGTGGAGTACAGTGCATATACATGTAGTGTCAGATATAAGCCATAAAGGAGTCTCTTCACTGTGTATAGATTAAATGCATTGGAGTAGTTGAAACTGCTTTGATAAGAAGACTAAAGGTAAACTTTATACAGTAAAATTACTACTGTAAGTTATAAGTTAACTGTAATATTTTCAGAATCTATCAATTATTTTATTCTTAATTGGGAATGTTAAATTGAGAAAGTTAAGTATCAACTGGATTCTGAAACAGATGTAGCATGGCCCCAGAGCCCTCAGTCTTTCTGTTCAAGCCCTTTACAAGTATCCTTTAGAGCATCAGACATTTTAAAAGCAACTCTAACTGTTGGATTTTTTCCAATAACATAAAGCTTAATTTTTCTATGAAGTGGAGTTTATTACAACATTAAGGAACAGTATTTAAACAGTTATTTTAATGGAATATTTTACAAATCAATTCATACAGAGAAAAGCAAACACAATGTTGATTTAGAGTTATTACCAGTAAGCTACATTGCTAAGCTGTTAGCGGGTAAGTGTAGTACTGTAAACTAGCAATCAAGTATTGTAGTAACTTGCAGTTCAGAATGAGATGGTAAAAATACCAGACAAGCAAAAACACTTTTTAAGATTTCTTGTACTCAATTCTTTCTACTTTCACATCATCTCCAATTAGTTGATAGACATATGTAACTACTGTAGAAGCCTGGATATCCATCAGCACAAATGAAGGAATGATGTTGCTGGAAAGAGAGGAAAAAATTTGTATTAATTGTGCATATATAATCACCTTAGCAGTGTTTCACCACTACTTAACAAAAATCACCCTAAGAAAAATGGGTATGAATTTTGTAAGCACAGTACATCAGAGCTGAAGCTTTATATATCTCACTCTCATCTGTTTCAGTCAACGAGATTTAGCAACTACTATCAACCCTTTCTCTCCCCAACATCTAGAATGTAAACTTTAGCCCTCAGAATGAGTTTTTTAAAAGTTCAGTTTTGTTATTAAAAAAAATCCTCAGAGCTACTCCCCACACTCCACTTACTTCTCTAAGGCATGATAGGCTCCTGTAGCTGATCCTGGATTGATATAGAACTTGTTTTCATGTTCAAATGCCTCAAATTTGTGTGTATGTCCTGAAATTAGGATGTCCACATCAAATTGCCTTTGTAGCAGTGCCAGGCTGGCCATATCACCCCAAGGAATAACCTGATGGCCATGAATCAGCCCAATTTTGAACTGTCCGACAGTTACAACTTTCTGTTCAGGATAATTCAGGTTCTAAAAATAAAAACAAACAAAAATTAGATGTACAGATATATATTTAAAAACAACTCTATGGAACACCAAGAAGAGAAGGGAAAAGCTTACGGAAATATTCAATATAAGCAGCCCCACTGCTACAAAATGAGCTGCAAAGCTGCTTTTATGAGCACTGGGAGAATGTGGTAGGGTGCAAAGAACTTCAGAGATCTGACAACAGCAGGTCCCATTTGCTGGAGTCCCAGACAGAGCCAAGTACACAATTACTTTTACTCATACTGATGATAGAACTTACTATATAATTCACATTCTTGATTGTAACCCCAACTCTTTTGCCCAGTTTGCTTTTCATGTGCCCTCAGCGCTACGTAAATTCCATTTGCCCACTTTTACGTGAATTACAAATAATCCAGATGTTGCCTTTATGTAAAAGATGCACAAGAAAAATGTCATTTTCAAGAGAAGACACTACCTCATCAAAGTCACCTCGGACAACATGAACATCCCCAGCCAGAGTCTTGAGGTAGTCATAAGTATCCTTGGTGCAGAGGTTTCCTGTGCAGAGGATGTGTTGGATCTTTCCTGGAACCAGCAGTTTTTTGAATTTGGCTGGGAGGCTGTTGCATCGATGGGGAATGTGGAGATCTCCTAATACTAACACCAACTTATCAGGTGTCATGACAGGAAAGAAAGATTGTTACAGATACTTATTTAGACAAGAATCATTAGGAAACAAAGCATTTAAATGTTTTCTTCAGGTTCGCAACTTTACATTTTGATGTAAAGACTACCAAAATAAGAATGAAATGGTGATGGAATATTGCTATAGTAAGGGCCCTTGTCTTCCCTCAATAATGCAGAACATATCCAGAGGGGGGCCTTACAAACACAACAGTCAACTGAATTATTTTTTTTATTTTGTTGCTGAAAGCCATTGCAAGGTCTAACAACAGAAAGGTGTTACTGCTTGATGTATTTTACACAAATTTGGGAACTACCATAAGCTATCCCTCTGTTTTTGGATGTTTAAGGAGAAAAAAAAAAAAAAAATGTAGGACACCTCTAGTACATGTTCTCAGGCCCAGACCTGGCTAAACTGTGGCCACTTCCCTTTAAAACTCTTCATCCAAGTTTCTTTCTACTTTAATTAACTTCTGTTTTCTTCCTTATCAAAAAAAAAAAAAAAAAAAAAAAAAAAAGGGGGGCAAATTTGCAACATGTTAACAGCTGACCAGAACAGGAAGCTTGTTCAGAGTCCATTTTGTAGGAACCACTGAACAAGAGGATAAGACTAACAGCTTAAAAAAAGAAAAAAATAAAAAAAAAACCCCAAGGCACTGCAGAGAATATAAGCCAGACTACTGCACACAGTGGTTCTTCTAGTACCAGTTCTATATACTCATAGTTTGAGTACAATAGATGCAAGGACAATACAAATTTAATGGGAGCTACGAAATCAAGGATTCAGACAAAGTAAGACCATAGTTTAATACCACAAGCTTTAAATCTGCAAATAAATAATATGAGCAACACAGCAATAAATTAATTATGCAAAAAGGGCATGAAAAGCTCTATAAAGCATGGGATGTTACGCCACTACACTAAAAACGCTGGATCTAGAGACAGTCATCCCTGTTAACTTGATAACTAGCTCCATATTAGCAACAGTTTATCTTCCAACCATAATGCTGTGTCACTCAGACAGTTCTTAAAACAACAGCCATCAAATGTGTTTGTAAAAGACACAGCTCAGAGAGATATATAAAAGCAGTAGTAACTATGCTAAGAAATTACCTTTTTTAATATTTGCTTTTTTTAAATTTTCAGGCCATGCAGCTATCTTCATGCCAACAGTCAAAAGTGGCACAAGGAACTTGGGTGGGCCTTTTGTTTGGTTGGGTTTTTTTCAGATTAAGAATGTGTTGGCACCATGATCAAAGCCATGCATCTCTGGAAAACTGATGGCTGAAAGTATTGGTAAAGCAATGCAAGTTTTTCAATCAACGAGATACCAATTTAAAACTAACTCAGGAGAGGTAGAAAAAGACACACTTGATGGCCTTTCAGGAGTTCTCAGTGAAAAATAGCCTTACTACCAACACTCTAGAGATGATGAATGCAAAAAAATTGGGTAACAAGTGATTTTAGTGATTAAAGTGGCAACAGACAGATTCTCTTACTGACACTTAAGGGACTTAACATGCAGTACCGGTTATGTATTTAATGTTCAGTAAAATCATACTGCCACTAAAACACAGAACCCCACTGAAGTCAGCAGTGTGTGCATTCAACAGACTATTTTCTCTGCTGACAAACTGGTGGCCCCATATTTTCCCCCCACATCACATTTAAGCTCCCATTAGTTAAAGCAAGGCTTGGCAAGATACAGTAACAACACAAAAGCATTGAAGGGTGTTTAATAATCACAAGTTTCTGCAATGTAAAATAGTGGCAAAGAATGTTACAACATCTGGCTTTTACTAGCTATTTAGGTGCAATCTTAAGCGTGAACAGCAACCCCATAATCCATATGTACCATCTGACATTCATATCTTCTAGTATCATTAACAAGCCCTTACCACCGGTGTTAGCAACAGCTAAGAGGAGTAAACTTACTCTGTGCCCAGCCTTATTGGAATGGAGTTGATTGCAGACAGGGGGGAATGAAAAACAGGGTGAAACATGATCAATGTTAAACAAAAGAAAGGAACAGGAAAGAAAACATAGCCAAACGAACAGGCAAATAATAATTAATGAATTGTTGATGTTATGGAAGAAGCGTTAAAAAAATTAAATAAAAAATCGGCTCCTGCGCGTGGCCCCCGCCGGTGCCGGCCCCTCAGCGGGGCTTCACCTCTCACCGCCCTGCTCCCGCCCCGCCATCGACCTCAGCTCGGCATCAGGCGCGTTTCTGGGCAGCGACTGATAGAAAAACCTTCCCTGAGCGCCGGCTCAGCGCAGCCACCGGCGGGGCCCGCACCGCCCGGGCCCGGCGCCCACCGGGCCGCTGCCGGATGAGGCCGACCCTAGGTCCGGGGATGTGTGTCCCCCAACCCCGCCACCACCACGGGGCGAGCCCCGCCGGGGAGCACACCCCACCCGCGGGTGGGGGACGGGACGCCCCCGCCGCTCACCATCCTGCCCGGCGCCGCGCTCCCTCCCCGCAGCCACTGCGGCTCCTCCCGGAAGCCAGACCAGCGCCCACCGCCCGCTACGGCGCCTCCGAAGGGCCAAGAAAGCCCGAAACGCGTTTCTCCGCGCCCCGCCTCCCCTCACCTTGTGGCTACATCCGGGTCTCTGAGGAGCGCCGAGCCCCTCCCCTCGCCCACACTGAGGCGTTTCCCGCCTTTTCCGCAGCCGCCGTGTGAGGGGACGGGACGGCCTTTGCAGCCGGTCATGAAGTGTGTCATTGCGGGGGCTCACCTCAGAGGTACCCGCGGCCCCAGGGGAGGCAGCAGGCCTGGGGCAGAGGGGTGGATGTGAGAGAAACAGGCAGCCCAGAGCTGGGGACGCCTCGGGGCAGCGCAGCGCAGTAGGGCCGGCGGCCGTGGCTGGCCCGGTGCCACCCCGGCGTCCGTGGCACTGCCCTCAGTGGGCTTCCCCGTGGGGGGCTGCGTCTAGCCACGCCACGGTCACAGCAAAGCCGGGGAGCGCCCTTCTCATCCCCAGGAGGACGAAGGCGTTTTTGTGGGGCAACGTGCAACCTCAGAAAGTTGTTCAGATTAGAGAGCGGAGGGCTGGATTTGTGGTACTTACAGGTTGAGAAGCCATTGCCTAGCTGGGTGCTGCTGGTTTCTTCTGTGTTTCTCAGGGCTACATCTTTACAGACATAAACTGCTTACCACTTGCTCAAACTTGCTGCCATTTACAAAATAAAATTTCTTACTTAAGTGGTGTTTTGTTCAATGAGATTGAATTAATTTGTGGTGACATCAGGTCATGCCAGTCAGTGCAGAGGGACAGATGACGTTTGAGGTGTGCCTGGTTAGAGGCAGCTTTCAAAAACATCAAGGTGTTTGTACTGCTGAAAATGAAAGAGTACTGTTTTCCACCAAGTCATTGGTTTTATTTGAAACATGTAGGAAATCTGTAATTTTTCCTTTAAATTATTTTTGAGAAAATGCAGTATAACTTTTTTTTTTTTTTAACTTAGATTTCATATTGTACCATTTTCTTTTCCTACTAGTGTTTGGAAGAGCAATACATGCCATAGCACGTATTAGTGATGAATTTTGGTTTGACCCCATAGAAAAAGGTGTAAGTGACTTTGATTTCTTGTAACTTGAAAATCTTGCTTGAAAGCATAGTATTTATGTTGTTGGATATTGTGTTTTCCTACAGATACTCTTCACTCTGTTACATTCCCGCTCATCTTCCTCCACTTTCAATATGGTCAAATGCCATATTTTCTGTAATTGTAATTATGCAGATTACATCATGGAAGATTCCTACTCTGCCCCTGGTATTCTTTGATTTTTTGCTACCCAAGCTGAAGCTTGTCCAGGACATCCGGATTAATACCAAGGGTTTTATTTCTGTTGTCATGGGTCAAAGGTTTATGTTTTGTACCACATCAGAAACTGCCTCTAAACAACATGTTTTTGTACTGGTATGACTCAACAGGAAGAATGCATCCATTAATATGCCTCTGATTAATGAAATACTGTTTCCAGCAGAATTAGGATTTTCTCTAGGGGTTTCTCAGTTAAAAGTGATTGATTCTCCTTAACTTGCTGGGAGGCTGGAAAATCAGAAGTGGCAATAATTTATTTTTATACCTGAAGAATTTTTGAGGTGCTAGTAGTGTTTTTGCTCATTTGTGTGTGTCATGTGGATGGGTGTACAGAAAGATTGTTTTAGAATAAACTCTAGTCCTCCAGATTCCTCAAACACAGGCCAAACTTTTAAGTGTTCAGGTAACGCATACTTCAGGGCCACTTAAATGTCTGTAGATTGGATTCCTAAGCCTGGATGATACCAGTGACTTCTGACCAGTAAGAGTGAAGGGGCCAAGTTTAAACATGATTGTATGCAGAATGCATCTATATTTATTTTGAGATGTAAACATTTAAAGGCTTTGTGGTTTAGGTATGGTGCTGAAGCACTGAGTTGGCTTTTTTGTTAAATGTTTGACATGAAATAGTTTTGAGTTAATAAATTAATTTACTTATATTTTTAGCTTGCCTTAAGATCAGTGAATTCTTCAAGGTCAGCATATGCATGTGTCTTCTTCTCATCTGTGTTTTTTCAACATTACTGCTGGACAGCTGTCTCTCAGCCATGTCAGAAGGAAAAACAGTTATCCCTCCCGTGTAAATTGATAATTAAGGTACATTTTAATGGATTGTTATGCACAGCTTTGTAAGCAACACATTAGCCGACTTCCAAATGAAATTATAGGGGGAGGCTTGTAGAGGCGTGTGGATGGCTCTAAACTCAGGCACTTCTGAGCAATTTTGCAAAAGAGAGGATTAGTATTTAGTCATGTTTAGAAATTGTACCTCCTGAGCTGTAGCCTGCAGTTTCCGAAGTCTGAACCAGCTTAATCTCAGGGTGAAGGATTACCACGTTTCTAGCTCTGGAGTGTTTCTTCTGTAGCTTTCAAAACCAGTATGAGTCTAGAGAGCTTTAGCCGGTTATTTAGCAAGCAGATCTGTTGGCCAAGTATTTGAATAGTGGGTGAGGATGGCGAGGACCAGTATCAGCTGCCGCAGTGTCTGCTTACAGAGCGGTTTGGGGAAGTCATAAAAGCAGGAGCTTGAGATAAACTGTACTAAACTAGGGAAATAATATTGCAAAATTTCTTGGTAAGTAATCTCTGCACTGATTTTTTTTTGTTTGGTTGGTTTTTACAGTCCGTTCTTCCTGTATTTAGATGTGTGAATGTGCTGGAAAGGAATGTAGAGAAATGCAGCATTTATACAAATATTAATGATCATCACATAACTTTCCAGCTCCTCTGCAAACATGGTAAGTTATACAAAATGTGACTTTATGGAAACAAGCAGTTTAAAACAGCAGGGCAAGGCAATATTTAGTGTAATTATTAACTGAATGTTATTGATTGAACATTATGCCAAACACTTTCAGCCTCTTCACATCATAATTTATCATGTGCTTCACTTTGTTAACATGAAGTTATAACAGGCTTTTTCTGACAATGTTCTTCAGTTCAGTAGTTAATGCACACTATATAGTAATTGTTAGCCTACTGCTTACAACATTTAGAATTAGGCTGGAGTAGATTCTGAAAAAGCACACAAGATGGAAAGGGAGAGAAATGCTGTTTTGGGAGGTGTTTGAACTAGAGGATTTACTGGGTCTTTTCACTTCTGATACTTACGGTTCTTCAGCACAGTAACAGGTCTGACATCCTCGGTCCAGCAGAACACCAGGTGTATTCATCAGCAGTAGTCTGCAGAATTCATGAAGAGCCATCATCTGTCGGCATAGCTTGCTGAGCTGTGCTGTGTAATAGGCGGTGGTTTATATTATTAAAAATCTAGCTTGTATTACTAATAATGAGGTAATACACTGAATTAGGTCTCAAGGCAATTAAACTCCCTTAGCTCATGCTTATCGAGAAATACGGAGAGATCTGTAGGGTTTGCCTTTTGTATTCCACCACCATTTGTATTATATCCATTAAATATTGAAGCCTTTTTCCCTCCCCTGCATTTGTTGCACTTTTTGCTGTTCGCTTATTTCTTGTGGATTCTTAAAAAACTCAGATGCTGGAGGGGCAGAACTAATAGGATGAAGGAAGTCTTAGATGGCAGGCTAATTCAGCTTTCTGTTTGTGGGTGAGTTATTTCCACATAGCTAGAGTAAGTTGCGTTGTTACTTTCTCTATTGAAATTTACTAAAAGAACAATAAATACTGAAAAAAAAAATCTAAAATTACAGACCAGCATTGATTTTTGTTCATATCCTTTATACTTAGGTCTTGTAAAAACATATAATCTGACATTTCAAGAATGTGATCCGTTACAGGCTGTTTTTGCAAAGCACATGTGTCCCAACGTACTTAAAGTGCAGTCCAGGTAATGAATAAAAAAGCTTTTTTCTGGGGAGAACAAAAAAAAAATCATACAGGAGGCAATATTACTCTCATAGTCATTAGCATCAAAATCTGATTAGGGCACAGTCAAAAATGGTGAATTCTTAAATCCTGTATCCTAGCACTTGATTTTTCACATTACAGTTTAAGAAATTTGGATTATTCTGCCATTAATCTTACTCACCTTGAGAAGTGTGTGAATTCACACCTTTGAGCAACTTCTACCTGTGAGAAATATAGTGCTTTAATTTTATAGGCAAAGAATCCAGTGGTAAAAATACAATCTTTTTAATGCAATAAGGCAAAGTTCTCCTTTGAAGAGCTGCCCTTTGGAAGAATCCAAGATCTGGCTTGTCATTGCAAGCAAAGGCAAAGAACAGACTCTGCTTCTGCTGACAGCATTTCTATTAAAAGTGTTTCTTGTGCACAGGAGCTTCTGTCACAATAATCAACCATTAAAGGTGTATAAAGATAGCTCTGTATAGGTATTATGTATTGTGTTTATAAAAAGATTGTGCAACTTCTAAAACTGCAAGCTTTTGAATAAAGAGTATAGGACGCTGAGGTGTGCTCAAAATTGTGATACATAAAGAAAGGTAGCAACAATATATAGGTCTATATAGATATGTAAGACTGATTTGGTAGCATACTCAAGCATTAAATATAAACAAATTTGCTTTTATAATTACTAGTTGTATTCTTAGATTTTACATGTACCTTGTGATCTATAAATCAATTTAATACAGCACACTTCAAGGGGTGCACGTTTCAAAGGCAGTTTTTCCAACAGTGTTGCCAAGTAACAATTTTAATTTCTAATATGAATAAAAAATGCTAGCTAGTAATTTGTAGCAGGTAAAATTATTCTAATGTTGAATGAAATTTTATAGGCTGCTGGCTGATATAATGATTCACTTTCCGACCAGTCAAGAAGAAGTAACCTTATCAGTTACTCCGATGAAAGTTTGTTTCAAGAGTTACACTGAAGAAGACACAGGTAAGGAAATTAAAAATATGACACAATACTGGGACTTTAAAACAGGTGAACTAAAGTAATAATAACTATGGCAGCGTAAACAGAGGATGCATTTTATGGCTGAATAATGAGATTTTTAAGAGGGAACATATATAGAGAGATTTTAAATCATACTGCCACCCTCTGGTTTTAATATATTTTAAGAAAGTATGTTTTTTAATAACATTTTCCTGGTATCAGTGGCAGATATCAGATGCACCAGCTAATTGAAATAAATTATGCTGCTTGCTGTAGGCTTGAACAGAGGTAATTACAGTGCTGCAAGAACAGAAGCATGGCAACAGACAGGAAAAAGGAGATAATTTTATGTTATAAAAAGAACGATTTAAATCTGAACACCATAATTAGAGAATTGATACCATTACAGAATGTATTTTAGTGTAAGGGCAATACAGTGCGTTAGCTGGCCTAACACTGTTCTGTTGCGCGCGGCCATGTTCAGATCCCCATCTGAGATGGAGAACAATCTAGATTCTTGGGGCGTGACTCAGACTAATTTTAAAGATATAATTGTGTTTTTGAAGTATAGGTTCTTGTATATCATATAATAAAGGGATGCTTTTCATACTTGCTTATGACCAAAGCTGAGGATAATGACCTAGAAAAAGATGACTGCCAAGGGCGGAGGGGTGGGGATTGTGCTGAGAACAGGCTGAAGCAGTGGAGAGCTGGAAGGATTAAGTGGTGGAAACTGGAGTGAAACTGGGAAGAAATTACTGAAAATAGAGAGACACTAAAGAGTACAATTTGAATGACAAATTTTACTATTTTAAAAACATGCATTTACAAGGGTGTTATTGTAAGAAAGTGGGGAAAAAAAAAAGTAGGTACAAATTTAATGAGATGCCAAAAAAACAATCAAGGAGCAACAGGAGGAATTACAAGCATTGTCTTGTTGTACTGCGTGTGATGGGATACATGCTGCCTGCAGCCAAGGTGCTGGGTGCACTGAAACAAAACGTGTCCTTTGAACCTATCACCCAGCAAGGGCTTGGGTTCTTCCACATTCAGGTTTAAGTTTCAAAGAAAGAAATTACACCTTCTGCCTAGGCTTGTTCTTATTTGCATGTGGCAGGCTCTGCCTTGCAGCAGCGGGCAGATGTGTTGCAAGTATCTATTTCTACAGTTTCAGGGCACTTCACAAGAGCGTATTTGAACACGCAGTGGGGCCTTGTTGAAGGCTGAGAGAAAAAAAAACCTCTTGAGCAGAGAAACCAGACTGGGAACAGCTTGCAATAGTTTGTTAGCAGCCCAGCTTTGGAAGGGAACGGGATAGGTGTGGGGTGTTAAAGCTGCTGTAGGATTTCTGAATGCCTGAGACTGTAACACATCGTGGAAGTACCCTCTTACTTTCTTCTCACACACCGGATAACAGCAACAGACTAATCTCATGATAACAAGCAACAATTGACTACCTGAAACCAACGAACCTATTTCCTGTTGCCACTTACGTATCAGGAAAAGATCATAATTTAAAACAAAGAACCTAAGTCCACCTTCATTGTCCTCTGATGATTGTCAGCAGTTATGATTAATCTGTTAAAAGACATGTGATGTTTTGCCCTTCCCATCTATGCAACAATAAGCAGCTGGTAATACTATTTGTAACAAACGTCTGTCGGCAAAGCAGATTTGCAAGAACGACAGCAGGTATTGGGTTAGATCACACAGTGGAACATAAAATAGGTTCTCTTAAAAGCTGTTTAAATCTCCATAATGTACTGTAAATAAATGCAGGATTTTATTTGAATTACAAAATAAATTTAGATAAACTAAACATTTACTACTGTTAGTCACTATAAAAATACAGTTCTTTGTTCAAACGATGCTGATGTAAAAACCTCATTGTTACAGTTTTGTTGAGTTCAGACTTCACTCCTTTGAGTCCTTGACTTCCTTGTTATTTTAAACAGATTTTTCAAAGACAATGATTACTGAAATCCAACTAAATCCAGATGAATTTGACTACTTTCAAGTTGGAGTTGATTCTGAAGTGATGTTTTGCCTTAAAGAATTGAGGGTAAAGTAAGAATTTGTATTGAAAATAGAACGTTTCCTCTTAACTTGCCTGACTTGCCCAGGCCCGTGCGGAACGGTCGCTGCGGAACGGCCAGGCCCCTGACCTGCAGCAGTATCTCACCAGCAGGGCGGGATTAGCTTTTAAACCCAGGATCTTCAGGACACTGGGGGGGCCCTCACAGTAGCCTTTGAAAGGTGAGGGAAATGTTTTTTAAACAGCAAAACTGTAATTTCAGTGTTGGGCAGACACACTGTAACCGTGCTGCCCAAAGCATCGGGGCACCCAAGTTCTCCGCGCAGCAGCAGCTTTGGCAAAGCTCCAGACAGGGAGGTGAGAAATGTGTTCTAGAAGTAGAGTTTCACCCTTTTTTTGGCCAGTAAACAACAGCTGGGATAAACTTACATTCTGATGTTGATCTTCTGTTTTTAAAAGAGCACTTAACCACCCACCCCTTCTTTCCAGGGACTGCTAGCATTTTCAGAAGCTACCAGTGTTCCGCTCTCAATCCATTTTGACATCTCTGGAAAGTATGTTTTGGAACTTACCTGTCTAGAACTACTGCAGTTACAACTCTACAGTCAGGTTTTGTCCGCAGGTTACTCAATGAATATTTCACTGGAACAGTAAAATAGATTTTAATTTCGTACGAAAAGCTGTATTTCTGATCTGTGATAGAGGGTTAAGTAGTTATTATGCATAAAGCACTGAACATAGGCACCGCGTTCCTAAGCCAACCACGCGGGCTAAGGAGCACCTGTGAGTTCCCCAGACACCTCAGGTTCTCAGTCTAACTCATGCAGTTATTTTATTCATCAGTCTAAAGAAGCAATACATTTTCTGCTTAAAATATGAAGAATTGCATATTCTAAACTATCATTTGACCAAGTATAATATTGTATTACCATTTGCTCACTGGTGCATTTAAACCTGTGACAGGAAGCCATCTCGTATTCCTCAGCAGCAAATATATTGGATTTTCAGCTTTTCAGGGGAGGAGGTTTTTTAATCTGTGTGTGTAGAATTGTGTGAGCTGCATTTCCTCCCGCAGTAGGTGTGATTTAGCCTCTATTTGTGTCTAGACCAGTTGCTTTCAGCATGGACAACAGGGTGCTGGAAGCCAGCTTTATTTTGGCGACCTTGTCTGGCATTGAGGAGGAGGGAGCTTCTCACCAGCCTGCCAGCTTCTCACAGCCGCAGGAGAGGTAACAGCGGGCAGCCTTAAGAGGGTGAAAAGCTGAAGTTTAACATTTTAAAGTTTAACATTTTAAGCAATAAAACTTGGTGCAACAGAGTGCACTCAGTGCTCACCTCCACGGGGTTCTGTTGCAGTAGGAGAGGAAGGGAAGATGCTCATTAAGAATCCGCTCTACAGCTATAATGCTTTTCATGAACAGAGAATAAAGACATTCTAACAAAAACACATAAAAACCAGTTACTAACCTGACCTGCTCTCTCCAATCCAGCTCTAAGACACATACAGCTAAATGTGAGAAAACCTCCATGGGTGAAGAGAGCAGCGTGGAGGTGGTCGCCTCCCGAAAGCCACAGTGGAATGGAAACACACCGAACGCCGGGTTGGCAAAACCGGCAAGTCCTTTGTCAAAACAAGAGATGAAAAATATTCCCAGAGCCACAAAGAGAGAGACGACGGGCACGGAAGGGACGGCCACAACCGAGGCAGAGGGCGGCGTGGTGCTGGGAGGAGAGGTGGTACAGTCTCCTTGTCAGAAGGTAAGGAGAGACCCCCGGCTTTATGGCGGGGTCCCCAGTGCAGGTTGATTCTCGGTTCTGCACGCGGCGTTTCAACAGAACGAGCTTTCACAGCTGACAAAAACCACTACTGTGTTTAATGCTGGAAATATTCACAGTGCAGGTGTGTTTTGCTAGGGAACGCTGTAGACTGATAAAGATTTTAAAGTGGCAAAATCTGCAGAAATAATTAAGCCTCGCATTCTGTATCACATGCAGTTCCTTACCTCTGTAAATATTGCATTTTCCAGTTTCATTCCTTATTTTTTGGAGCAGTTTCTTGTAAGGAGAAGGATGCCACCAGCCACACTTTCCACAGTTTAGCAACAGCTAGTGACACCGAAGAAGATTTTGGCCCTGTGCAGAGCTCCCATGTTCTCTAGGGGCACGAAGCATCTGACTCCACGGAAAGACTCCTGGGGCTTGCCTTAAGGGATAAAAGCGCTTTGACGTGGTAATAGTGGAGCTGGTTCTAGTTTTAGAAAGTTTAGTTGCAGTTCTGCAGCGAGTTAGAACTCGAGAGAAACTCTTTGTATTCTGACATCCTGCAGTGAGCTGTGCTTCACAAACCCACCCTCAGAGCACCCAGAAAGCAGGAATCCTGCTCAAAGGGGTCCCAGTTTTGGGTAGGTTTTTTTTTTTTTAATTTTTTTGCAAGACAGGTATTGGAAAAGGACAAAACTCAACCCAGTACTGAATGCTTTCTCTGTTCCTGCTCTGTCAGGACAGGTTAAGAGTTTAGTCACTGTTGATGTTAACCACCAGAGTCACTCTAACAGTGTTCACTGTTGGCCTAACGCAATGAAAATTTCGGTCATGATTGCTGAGATGGGATTTGGGTGCTGTGGACATGGCTCTCTAGTACCTGCTCACCAGAGAATTCAACGTGCAGCACCACTTCAGGCAAATTAAGCTGCTGTAAAGTGCTGGAAAAATAAACCCAGCCGAACACATTATTGCTAGAACAGAGCTGGTATTTTTACAACAGTGTAGGACTAACATTTAACTGGGTGACCAAAGTTATTGTAGAAATGCGTTAAAAAATAAAAGTGATGTTTGAAAGCATGAGTTTGTATTTCAGACTTGCACTATTCTCTTCCCTCCCGCTGCCTCTTCCACCTGGCAGCACGGCCTTTCCAAACTCACACCAGAATAAAATACCACAATTTCCCAGCTGTGGCTGCCAGCCTGTTACAGCTCAGGTTTGTGGTGTCAGACAGCTTGGAGATCACTGCCGGCAGGCTGGAACGCGAGCACAACAGCCCAGGGCTTGGTGGCTGCGCCGCCAGCAACAGCACTGCAGTAACTGAGGGGATGCGGTCAACTTTAAAAAAAAAAAACAAAACACATTTTAGTATAAATACTATATTTATTAAATATCTTTACAATTCATTTAAATGTATTTACAGAACTATTCCTGCATAAGTTATACCTCAGACATGAAATTCACATAATTGCCTCTTAGGTAAGCATAGATGATAGTCTCATTTGAACAACAACAAAAAAGCATCCTCATTAGATACAGACTCAGATTTGCTTCATTGTCTCAGCCGTCTTTGGGAGCAACTACCCTGCACAGCCAGTTTCTGCACACACAATCTGTTTTTTTCCCTGGAGAAAGGACATCCATGACCAAGAGATGGAGGTTCCATCACAAAACCCTTCATACCTTTGCCAGACCTTCGCCTCTCCCTTCTCCTTGACTCGGTCCTAACTGGTCCCAAAATCTAGTTTTTGTTTTGGTTTTTTGTTCAGCCATACCTTCTTCAGAAACAAAGGAGTACGTTTAGAGGGAAACTGGATGTAGCAGGTCTCCCAAAGACAGCCTTCAAAGTAGCAAGAAACCACAGCGTTTTTCCAATTCACCACATCTTAGCCCTGTTTTACCCGACTCCCTGGTGACGCTGCTGCAGAAATCCCAGCTCCTGCCAGTCCTGGGACATTACGTGGTTACTGGTCTCTAAACCCTTTCCTTTTCCTTCAGCTCGCTGCTCCCAAACCACCAGCTCCTGAGAACACCCCCTGCAGCAGCCTGTGCTTCGTGCATGCACGCCTCTGTGTCAGGGAACACCTTTCCTGTGCGTTCCTCTCGTGAATAGTCACAATAATCTAATTCCTAGGAAGTGTTACTGCTTCATGCATCGTTTACAATTATTTTGATAAAGTGGGCCCTGTCATTTCCTTTTCCAAAAATTTTTTTTTGTGCGCAGACAGCTTAAGTTCATAGGAAGAAATTAGGTTTGATATGTTTAGAGTGCACATCTTAAAAAAAAAAAAAAATTCCAAACACAAACAAACACACACACCCCCCAAAAATAAAAGGCAAAAAAACCCCAAAACAATCAAGCATGTGATAAAAATATCAATTATTTATAATACAGTATTGCTTTATAAACAGATGGAAAAGCTATAAGCTTTACTGGTCTTTGGTGTGTCTGGTGAGGGATAAACTCATGATTTGCAAATCAAAATCCAAATTTGTTCTTTATTAAAAAAAAAAAAAAAAAAAAAAAAAGAAAATCCTCACAATGTGATACGAGGCAAACAGCTCTGTAGCTGTGGCTCAGGCCGCAGAGCTCTGCAAAGCAGGGGGACACCGGGGCTGGGGCGAGGGGTCAGAGTGCAACACAGCCCGGGTCTGCGGGGGCATCGTTTCAAGGAAAGTTCAAGGGGAATAATAATTGATCAAATCTGCTCTAATCAAGAAGCGTGATAGTAAATACTGGAGAATAAAATGTAAAGACACCCAGATTTGAGAGAGAGACGCCCCTCCCAAACGCTAGAAACAAAGCCCTGTACTGCAGCGAGAATACATTCCTTCTGACGAGACAGCTAGATACAGCTTGTTCAGTTTTAAAAAACAACAAGGACTGACAATTTGTGCAAAGTTATCCACCACTCACTGTTCATGGATCGCAAAACTAATTAATTTTTCTTCATTAATATAATCCTCCCCGTACCCTCACCAAAATAGTATTTTGGTCAAGTTAGGGTAGTTAAGGCATTTTGACAAGTAATTATAAGGTGATTTAAAATAGATAGCTAACATTATGCCAATTTAGGAATAGCAGATAAATTACTGAAGAGCTCCCAAATTAATCACTTATTCTTATAAATGAAATGCCTGTTACAAGCATGATGCATTGAAATATAGTAAATGACATGTACATGGTACATGTTAAATGACCTTAAATAAAAGCTTGACATAGTTACGCAAATATACAGTACAAGTCCACAAAAATTCTTTAAACAAGTTGAGGTAACCTCAAACTTAAACAGTTTTAATACAATAAACCAGGTAGTAAAAATCTCCCTTTGAGAGCAGGTAAGATTACTTACTGACCAAGTTTAACTGCACTCACCTAAACAGCAACATTACCCGACTTTTTATATATAAAAACATGGCTTTAATTTATTTCTACATACTTCTCTACCAGCAAAAAAGTTAATGAAAAACTGACCAAAAATATATATATCTTTACAGCTATCAGCTTTTTGTATGAACCTCAGGAAAGGAAAAGGAAAGCTTGCTGGAACGGGGGAACAAATGTGAGCTACTGTAATTCAAAAGGAAATGTAATATTGCAAAGTGGCTGTTAGATAACTGTAAACATCATTAAGGTTCATTCCGAAAACCCTAAACTTTAGTTACTGAAATGTAAGTTTTACTGATTATTCATTAATAGTTTCCATTTACATACTTACTGCTGCTGCTACAGCATAAGCAAAGAGGTGCTTGTTTCAGAGTCAGAAAGATAAGGATCAACTGGACTTCAACTGGTGCAGCATATTCTGTTCTACACAAGCGAGAATGGCAATTAGTAACATAAATTACATCTCGTTAACAACAGAATTATCTACCAAAAGTGAAGCCAGTCAAAAGTTGAGGATGATCTGTTCTCTGTGCAACCTCCCACTGTAGCATCTATGCCATATCATCCCACACCGGTGAGATGGGTTAAAATGCTGAAAGGACCTCAACTTTGGCCAGCTTGGCTTTTTGAGACTGAGTTAATTTAAAAAAAAAAAAAAAAAAAAAAAGTTATCCACAGCCAAAACATCCAGATACCAGGCCCATTATGGACGAATGATCTGCAGAACTTTAAAGATCACAGTTAAGCACCTGAAATCACAAAACACATTTGCATCCATATAACTTGAACTAAGTATGTTTTTTGAAATTTCGTACTAGAAAAGGCTCCTAGGCTGACACCATGTATGGCAAGAGCAGAATGTTTACAGCAGTTATAAACCTCCTGAAAACTGGAGCTTAGAAACACGAAACCTCAGCTATCACTGTAACAAGACTATGCTTATGAAACTGTGTTCTGTAACATACCCTTTAATGAATGATGAACTTTTCTAGTAAATAGAGTAATATGCCCTCTTGCAGAGGTTTTAGCTATTGAATCTAGCTTGAAAGATGAGAAACCAATTCTACTCCTTTGAAAGTCAGTCACATTTCAAATGCAGTAACGACGTGGGATTGATCCTCCCCCTTTAAGGGCAATGACTAAGCTCTGAAAGACATGCTTCAAGCCTTGAGCTTCTTCATTTCTTGCTGGCAGACAAAGACCAGTGTACTACGAGAGTGGTTCTTAACAGGGACTTCAGTTGTGTCTCAAGACAGGCAATGAGCTCGAGAACCAGCTGCTGAGATCAGCTGCGAAGGAAGAAAGCAATCCTGCCAGCAGGAAACCGTACGTGTGATGCTAGGAGCTCAGGGAGAACAAAACATCAGAAGCTGACACCCCAGGCAAATCAGTCTGTATACTCGGCTACAATAGAAAGAAGGACGGTGATGTCATCTGGTTTTCCCCCTGTAATGTAAAAAAAGTGTCATCAAACCACAGTGGGTCATCTTCTTATAATCTGTGGTATTCCCCCATGGAAAGCTCTTTGAAAAAAATAGCTTAAATATTCAAAAGCTGTTCTGTGTAGTCACAAGAACCCTGTGTCCTCCACCTCCTTTCCAAAATGCGACTGAGGGTAGCAGTGACATTTAACACAGCAAAACAGCGTGCTCCTAAGCTACGCTGACATCACAAACTATTAAGAGGAGTACAGAACCTTGAACATTGTTGTTAGCCAGCAGAGCAGAAAGCCTGTTTTCTTGCAGACCACTTATTAAATAAGTATACAAGAAAGCTGACATTGCTTTGGTACAAGCAAGCTGCAATGAAGTCAGTATCTTCTCAGGAATTTCTACTGTAAATCAAAAACCTCTTCAGCATCTTCTCCAGCACTATATTACTGCATATCTTTCTAAAAGCTACTTAACATTTTTAGTAGTCGCTTCTCAAACCTCAACAGCTAGAGAATGGCTCACACAACAGCACTCTAAACAACACTCAAACCCTAGAGAAATGGCTCAGAGAAGAAGCATTTTGTTACGTTACAGACTCAGCAGATTACAGTTTCATTACTGAATGCCTGAGCTTTGTAACACAAGAGCTCAAGCTTCAGAGCTACTGTCTCTATTCTTAGGAAAGATGTTTAATGGTCTTGCAGGAAATCCTGCCCTCCTGATACAGAGATAATAGGAACATATTTAGTAGCAGAATTATATCTATTTATTTAAAAAAGAAAAAAAAAGGTGCTTGATAGGACTCTGAACTCCACTAGGTGTTAGTATCTTTCTAGAGCATAGGAAGTAGAACCAACAGAAAGATCAGGATGGGGATGCTAATGGTACAAGGGTCAAATTTCAACCAAAAAACCCGAAACCACCAAAGACTGGGCAGAATCTTGGCTAGAAAGTATCAATAATAGAAGACCTTAAAAAAAACCCACAGCCACAAAAACCACCCCCAAATCCAAGGAACAAGTCAAGTACACTTTCCCCAAGAGCCTGGAGAACTTGTATCAGGCAGGATTCCTGGGGCAAGAGTGTATGTATTAAATTAAAAAAAAATAATAAAATAAATAAAAATCAGTGCACTGCGTTCCCTGTGTTGCAGCTGCTTCCCCACAGGAGGCTTCTGAGCAGCCGGGGCCTGGGGGCCACGCCAAACCCGGCACGTGAGATCACTGCTCTACTGCCAACCACATTTCTTAACGCTTGGTTTTCTTATCAGCTTTTGGAACAACAGAACTTCACTTTGCTTAAGACTTCTCAAAGACAGCAGGAGTGGGAAGAAGAGGGAAAAAAAAAAAAGAAATCTTACCTCTCACATTCAATCCATTGTCACATGCAAACTGTGCAAACGGCGACATGTAAGTGGGATCATATGCCAGCTCGTGAGCTTGCTCAGCAATGCTTCTTGCAGTCTGCTGTATACTCTCATAGTTGGAGTTCTAAATTAATGAGGAAAACGTTTATTCTTATAAGAAAGTCTACCAGCAGTTGATTTACTGATACGTGTCAGTTTTGCTGATCCCTGACTGCTGGACCTCTCTCACAGATTAGGGCACTAGTTGTCACCTTCCCTTCCAAACGGAACCCTCACCATCTTTTAGGCTTTATGCATTTGGGTTAGAAGTGCAAATATTCACAACTGAAGTCCAGACCTCTATTCCCTACCAGCAGGTACAAGACTTGGTTTTGGAGGATTTGGAGTGTTTAAAAAACTTCGAAGACTAATACTCAAAGCTGACTAAACAAGTCTCACCTAAGGGAAATAGCTGTACTAGCAGTTCACACCAAAAGAACCATCCTTCACTCACAAAGCTGGTTCTGTTGAAGTAATTAAGTTTTACCTTAAGTGGGAAGTCTTACTTCTCTGACCGTCTTACCCAAACCAACAAGTGCACACTTGGGGAGCAGGGACATTTTAAAAATTAGATGAGAAAAAATATTGCACATCCAAACTTTCTACAGGCAGCATTTCAAGTGCCATTTTTTTTCCCTGTTTCAGTAACTCTGCTGCTTTACTCCAAAGCTTTTCTTACTCAAGCCAACACGACATGACAGCCACCACTCTCTGTTTGTAACTATTTTAAAATGCCTTGTAATTTCAAGAGTCTTCCCTGCAGTTCAGGGAATTAGTGGGCATTTATATGATTAACTTTTGGCTGAACCTCACAGGGAACTTCGGTGCCTTTCCCAAACACGCCAAAAGGTGGAGCTCAACTTTCTTCCACAGGGAATTCCATCTCCAGCGGCAGCTCGGGCTAACCTCACCTCCACGCAGCAAAAGGAAGGTGGGAGCAGAGCAGAGCCTGATCAGGCTGTAGCAGAGGTAACAACCACGGAGGTTAGTGCCCAGCCCACCAGACCCTTCCAAACCACGACAGCGTGCCCATACATGTTCAGTGCCATCATTACCTTTGCTAACCAGCTTAAAGCCTCTCTGCCAGTTTGTGCTGCGGTATGATGACATTTTCCATGTCACAGCACAGCTATCTGCTTCTCAATTTCAGACCTGAATACTGCACCAAGAAGAGTGGAGCGTGACGGTGGGGACTGCGGAGAGGGGGAACCACCAGAGTCTGCCTGACGTGCAGCTGCCTCTCAGACATTTTGTCTGTAAGGACCCATTTTCTAACTGACATCACCTTCCACTTCCATAGCTGCAGGGTAGGAGCAGGCAAAATTTTTTTAAAACCGCGCTATAATTCTAGATCTTAACCTTATTTGCATTTCACAACAAAATAACTTCCTCAGGGAGGTTATACATATTGATATCTCCTAAGTATACTTTCCTTTCTGTAAGTAAATAGCCTTAAGCTAAGTGTTCTCATCCAAATTAAAATATTTTAATGTATTTTTACTATTTTAAAAGAACATTTGCGGTCTCTAACCTGGAGAAGTTGACAGGAAATTCTTTTACAGAACCTTAAAGATTTTCAAGCACATGCAACCCACAATTCAGACAGCCCTTACTACTTTGGAATTACTGTTTTATAATCCTTCAGAAAAGCTTCAAATTATTTTTAAGTATACAGCTCATCCCCCTCAAATAACCCATGAGAGAATGCTGTATTTTCATGTGTATAATCTACAGCCTGCAAGTACAGCTAAAATACCATGTGTGAGCAGCTGGCCAAGGGCAGTGCCTGCTACTGAACATCTCCTGCTCTCCCCTCCCATCACTCATTAGTGACATGGTACCAGCTGCTACTCAGGAAATTTATGCCCAAAATGCTGCTCCTGGATTCAGCCTGGGTGCAGATCCAAGAGACGGCGCTTTGGGGTCACTGTGCCTGCTGTCCCTTTCTCATGTGGGGTGTTAACTGAAAAAGTCTCTAAACAACAGCACTTTGTGGTAAGTCTTTTATGTAAAATAAGTCACACGCATAAAACGAATGCTAGTAACTGTAAGGGATAACAAGTGCAAAAGATGTGAGAGATTCAGAACACACACACATACCTTCAGCTTTTTTAACTCCTGCAGAATCATGTAGTCAGGCATGTTGTCAAACAGTCCATCTGTCGCAGTCAAAATAATGTCTCCAAGTTGGACATCAAAAGAAGTACTATCAGCAGCATCAGGGCTGTGAAGATGACAGATATGTTAAAGAAAAGGACTCCAGCTCTCATTAAGACACCAAGCAGTGTCAAACTAGCACATCAACAGCTTTTGTAATTCACTACTGTTACATGTTTTTCTGCAAAAGAAAGAAATAATCACTAACTGTGGAGCTTTTGCACCAGGATGGCTTGTCAAGAAAGCTACAACAGAAGAACTGTGATTGCAAACAGGTAATGTTCCAGCTATTACACAAAGGATTTGCATTTAAAATTCCCAGATGAACAATCCCACAAACTAATCTGCTTCACAAGTGTATCTCCATGGAAACCATTAAGTAGAATGGCAGCTCAGGGCTTCCTTCTCACTCATCTTCGATATGTAAGAGCGCTATACTTGAAAGGACAATTCCTAACAGGAATGGCCAACACACTTAAGGATTCTGAATCACTTTCTAATGCAATGGAATACGAAACATGTCTGGAAATGGCTACCAGGAGACCATAGCCAGTCGGTCTACTTATGTCTAACACATTACACAATACCAAGAGAAGAAAACAACTATTCTGGCCATGAATATTGTTGCAAGATCTGATTCTCAGAGGCAGCATAAAGACAAACGCTTCCTATTTAAGGATTCCTCAGGGGTCTTTAAAAGGGAGAAACTGCTGCATCCCATGCCTTTTGGCTATCCAAAAAGCAGAAGAGCTGCTTTGCTCAACTGATTTGTAGCTTCAGGAAGGTGAATAGAGCTAAAATTGCCCGCCTCTTCCCATACATGTTCAAATTTAACATTTAACTGGGACAACAAATAAAAAAAGTACTAAAAAGCATTTAGACAACACGCATGAGTACTAATTAACATCAAGAACAGTGCAGAAACTAGCCAGAAAGCTATAATCATGATTCAGAATTGAAGTGTGGGAGCTCATTTATCTTGCACTTTCCTTATTATGTGATGACTCAGATTGCTTTGCTTTCCTAACTTCCACTGGACATTATCAATTATCCTTCCTTATGCTTTTTGTTTTTTGTCTTCCCATGGATGACATAGAATCTCAGAAAAATTAAGATTTTTACAGCTCTGGAATGTCAAACATTTAATTTTAGTCTAATAAAGAGGTTAGATTATTTAAGAGTTCTAATTTCAGAGTTCTACCCTAGCTTCTTCTCTGCAGTCTTATGATGAAGTAATAAAACCACATGCAAGAACAGTAAGGAGTTTCAACAACTTAACCAACATTTTCAGTAAGAGCTATTTTGGCATTAGTCAGCCCTTACTGCACCAGCCTTGGTACTTCATAGAATCATTCTGGTTTCAGAAGACCCTTATGATCATCGTGTCCAAACCTTGTATCGAAAACTTAAGATGCCTATTGCATTCCCTGTATACTGTGGTCACTCTGAAGATTTATCATCTTCCTGCATTCAAAAGAGGGCTATCACTTTAATAAGTGTATAACCATTATTTGTGAACTGGATTTTAATACAGATTCGAAAGCTGATTTTTTTTTTTTTATTAAATTTTGTATTACTGGTGAGACTTCAGAAAGTCAGAGAATGGGTCAGCCTGACATTCTTAGGGGAAGACACAAATACAAGTCTGCCTTTGAAACAACTCATTTCTGTGAACAGATTGTCCTTTCCTAATACTCTCATTTCCCAGCTTGGTGTTCTGCCAAACAGTTTTTTCGCTCATTTTGGTCAAATACAATATGCTGCAGGAAACATAGCTATTTGGAAACACAAGTTAGTCACATGTCCCTCTGCTTTATTCTTCAAGTACTTGTTACCTCACTGCCAAGATATCTAAATTAGCGTACTCCAAACCAGTCTCAGGAGAGTCCAGACAGGGACTGGGAATTAAAGCTGCTGGTAAGAGAAGCCATTTGTGCAGGACAACCTGGGAATGCACAAGCCGCGGTCTTATTACAGCAGCTTTATTGAGCAATGTCTTTCCATGGATCAGAACATGCCTAATGCACACCACAGACTATGGGAATATGCCCTCAAGAATGAACAATCATTAGCCCAATAAATTCAGACTGTGCAACAGCCTACAAAGTTTGGTAAGTGCAAGGTGAGAAATGTTCACATTACCTAAAGATGGGAGCAGGGGGAGCAGGTATAAGACCCTCTGATTTGATACACTCTTAAATCCCACATGCTACACTGCACCATAGCAGCAAAACTATAACCTTTTAGGAGTTACACAGATTAAATACACAGATTAAAAATTTAAGATCCTCTCCCATTTTACCTGTCACTTAAAACAACTCCTTCTGCTTCTGGTGGAGCTATTGACAGTTGGAACGGAGTGTTGAAGTAATGCTGCTGCTCATCAGATCGATGTACTACTTCTCCTCCTCTGACTACCAAAAATCCAGAATCTCCCAAGTTTGCTGTGTGTAAACGATGACTTGTTCTGTCCAGAACTACTATACAAGCTGTACTGCTTCCTGGAAACAGAATGAGGTAACTGGAGTTAGCCTTACAGAAATTGTTATTCTTTCACTGACTTGATTCATAGCCCAGTTATTCAAACATGTATCAAAACTTACTAATCAGGAGAAATGGAAATACTCAGTAATGTCAAAATTATTACACACTATAGATAGAAAAATTCTAGAAACCTTTGCAACACAAGCTATGATTTTTGTATAGAACTTACTTTTCCTGCTTTGATTTTGGTAAACATATTATGCTAACAAATACCTGTTTTGTTCCACTTTATTTACAGTTTTCCATCCCAACATATGTCAGCACATTCTGCTATAGGACTGGATTTACAGAAGTCACATAAAATACTGAAATTCCAAAATCAGAGATAATAGAATTCTAGTAGCATCCATACAATGCTAGGTGCTCTCCACACAGTTTCACTCATCAGCTGTAAATAAACCACGCCAAGTAAAGAGCTGCTTGCAATTAAGTATTGGGTATTATTGCCTTACTCTTGCCAGAACATTAAAATCCTTTTCTTCATAGTATGGCTCTGCAGTTATCTTCATGTTTAAAAAAATAATAATTCTGTCACATCTTCAGGATACTAACTTCACAAGTTTAAAGAAAACATATTTCAGAGACAAATACTATTCCAGATTAAAGTAAGACAGAACAGAAACGTATCTACTTCTCATGCTCAGAACCATCCCAGCCACGCTTGAGGGCACTGAGGAATTCTTGATTCATTCACTGGGAAGTAGCCACCAAGTGTGCTTGGTTGCAAGCCACAAAAATAACGGTATTGCAAAGATACCTGTCCACAGACTAAGTCCTTACAGCAAACGGCAATCACTGAATTTCTGCAAAAGGACAGCCCATCCACCAAAAGAACTTTCATTCCCGAAGAGGGTGAAATACAGCCAAAACATTTGTACTGGACTTCTGCCTCCGAGGTAAGACCCCGTACCACCGGCTGGTGAATAGTCTTCATTCTCTATCCTAATCATCTTCCAGCAGGAGTTTCCAAGCACAGCTACATGTTGGACAGACTACAAGCTTGCAATGAGCTCAGCTTAAAATCAGGCTTGCTAGCACAGAAGTCCAGCTGGCTCCAGGCATCCCCTATTCCAGATGTTTCCCTTCTTAACACAGGGAGTTCCCTGCAATACACTTGCACTTAGTTTGTCCTGTAGTAAATATACAAGACCTTCTCCACTCTTACTGAACGGTAAGTCAAAGCAGTATCTTAGGAAAAATTCAGATTTTATGTGTGACGGTGTCCAAGAGTGTTCTGCAATACAAGAACAGTCTTTAAATAAATGTCAGTTTCCTCCCATTTCAGTTTTATTTTAAAATATTTGCTAGATTCTGTTCTGATGAACTAAGTATTAAGACTTAAAGCACAACAGCAAGGAAGAGTTATTGCCTAATGAATCCTCCTTGAAGAAGTCCTCTCCCTTCACTTTATTTTAAATAAACTCTAAATGCTCATTGCTGTGGTAATTCCAGGGTTCTATTTCTACTTCTAAAAATACTGTTCTCAGTTCAAGGAGAAACACTAAGGATCATTAGTTTCAAATTCTAACTCTATTAGCAGAGTGTAACTAGGAGGCCATGTGTGGAATGCAGATCTTGTGACTCAGCATATGCTGCTTTTCAGAATTCGAAAGGTCAAGCCAAGCAGGGCTGCCTCCGTCTACAAAGCCGTTGTGAGAGCTCTCACCAGTGGCCCACTTTGTAGATCACTTACAGCTACATCTGCTTTGTACAAACAAGCACTATTAAACACACAAAATCCTGACGTAGTTACGGACCACTGCTATTTCAGTGATACTTCGGGTCACTTCTGAGGTTCCAACCTATTCTTTAGGCATATAATGCGAGAACATCTGTTCTGAAGCTCAGCAGACAAGTTAAATATAGCTTACACAGCACTCCTCTGGCATAGAAGTTTAAGGTCAGGTGAGAAGCACACTTATCATGCAGGGTAACACTTCCTTGGTGCATAAGAGGTCACATGCCCTTTAGAAAAGTATTCTGTTTTCAAGGTTGTCAGCTGAGGCCAAATGTGGCCTCTCTATCTGTTCACCATTCACAAGGCGGTTGGATGCCCTGTCTAAAATCAAGTTTGACACAGAATATGCTAAACATTCACTTTAGTTTGCTTTCAAAAAATCTGTAATGAATCCCCCACAAAGAATTATAAAAATAATATACAGTAACAGAGATTGTATAACTACTTAATTAGGTTTAAAATTCATTGAACATACAAGGCAACAGGAGCAGTAAGGCAACCAATCATCGTCAGAAAGTACTTTTGCTTGCATAGCTTAAGCAAAAAGCCACAACCAACCATTAACTTCTCAGAGAACAGTTATTTATACATACGTAACAGAGCGCAAATGCACATGACATAGTGTATTCACTGCAGAACTCATTTTGCAAACTCTCTGTAAGCACTGGTGAACTACCACCCTGTACACATAAAGGCTGTCTGCCTTTTATCTTTTCAAATATATATCTGCACAAACACAGAAACATTCCCTGCATTACTGAATGAATCAAGACAGTTTTTAAACATACAAGAGAAAATAAGGATGCTACCAAGACAACTGTATTTCTGTGTTCTTTCGTTAATTAAGAGAAGATAACTGCCTGCAAATTTACTGTAGAAGCTGACAACAGATTTAAGCAACCTTGACTAAATATATGCCTAGATAACATACAACACAGATCCAATTTATATATTTTTACCCCCTTACCAAGCAAAGGTACTTTGTTCTGCAGCAGCTCACAATAACCTGCGGTGAGAATCCCAACAGGATTGCTTGGTACAAACCGTCCTTCTTTTACTAAACGTTCACATGTTCGCATTAGAGTCCCTGAGAACTGAGAAGGGTCAACCCCATAGTCTCTCCAGCCACCTACACCATCTGCCACCCCTAGAAGAAAACAGAAAAATCAGAGTTATACAAGCCAAAATGGTTTTCGAAACAAGGTTTTTAATTTTTGACATCATTTACAATATTCAGTAACTATAAAGTAGGACATAGCACCCACTTGAAAAACATTTTGGATTAAGAAAAAAATTTTCTAAGCATTTGCAAGATAACTCCTGACATCAGCTCCTAGACAAATCCCTAAATATAATATGAATTGCCAAAGAGAAGGTAAAAGTCAAATGCTAAGAACTCTGTGAGGAAGCTGACTTCACTAGAGAACAAGTAAAAGAGAATTTGGTGTGGGGGATGAGGTGGAGTCAATCACATCAACCTCTGATTAGCCCAAGAAAAAAAAGAATAAGCGTTTTTAGTAATTTTAAATGTGAAGGTTATTAAGATTTTAAATAGTATAGAAATGATAAACTCTTCCCCACTATTCAGCAGCCCAAAGTTTTTTTCTCAAGCAATTTGCTCATATGAAGGATAATGCTTTCTATTTGGCAATATCAATTTCTGTAGAAATTAAACTTCCATTTTAAAAGTGTATTCAAAACCACATGTATCCAACACCATGGTGGGATCTACCTCCTTGCAAGGATAGTTTGTCGCTTACAGCTTCAGCCAAGCAAGAGAATGAAAATCAACTATGATCCAGTCAATTTTCATTCAGTTATTCAAAATCATCTAAATATCAGAAAATTAGACCCATTCTGTCAAAGCCTGAGAAGCTTCTGAGGAACCACAGAGGCAAATAGCAAAGCTGCACATAAAAAAGGGGGGTGGTCAGAGGGACATAAGCAGCAGGTAAGAGATTCTGTTGGCCATGTGGCTAAAGTATTTTAAACTTCCTCAACTGGACTTAATGGTAAAAGTAAAACACCGTCTGAAGTTATTTATGAGACAAAAACATTCCTCCTTGGAAAATTTTCCGAAATTATTTTTGATCCTCAGCATCTAAGGGACTAAATTTCAAGCACAGGTTTCTGTAAGGTAACAACACTAAAATAATATGTTCATGCTAAAAGCATGAAGAGCCGATTTCAGAGCTCAGACTGTGCTGAAGAACCACCAGTCTCCTCAGAAAAAATGCTGCTGTTAGCAAAGGCGTGAAAATTTGACTGAGTAGGTAAAACTAAGTTTGCCTCATCTACAAATAAATGCCCTTCACATCGGGCACTATCTGAAACTGAGACGGGAGGTTTAGAGCTGACCTTGGCACAAACTATAATCTGACAAAAGGTTATAGCCAGATTCTGAACAGCCTATCAACATTAATCAGATTTTTCCCAAAAATAGTGCATAACCTTTTAGACACCTGCTTTGTCCCTTTGCCTTCTTAGAAGAATGCTATAGGAAGGCAGATGCTTGTATTCACCTCTTCAGACCAGACCCTGGGAAGAAGCTCATGCAAAAGCAACCCTGGCATTCTCAGAAATGCCTTTTCTGGTATCTTCAAGAACAAACTAATCCTCTCTTCATAGGTCCGAAAACTTCAGGTTAATATTGGCTTAACTCTTTGCTTTCTGCTGCCACACAGACAAGTCTAGAAAAAGATATTATTAAGAAAAGTTCTACACCTAGAACTTGAAATAGAAACTAAGCTTCAGTTTGGATGATGATGCTTGTTTTACATGAAGTTATCAGAGGAGCAGCATTTTTCCCTTTAACGCAATTCAGATGTACTTTTGTTAGCTGAATACAGCATCGCTTCACTGAGAACAGGGTTAGTGCAATGAAAAGATGGTGTTTGACAAGTACTGTCCAAAGCTTTTGACTCCTACTGCAGCTACAAGACAAGCTCATCAGAAGCTAGAGTTCTCTCAAGCGATCAGTAAACCATTTTTGCACTAGTCTCCCTGGTAAATATTTAAATAGAAACACTACAGCATTAGTACGGAGTACAAGAAAGCCATCATAGCAAGCACTTGGTAAGGTTAATTATCAAAACCTATTTCAATTTTTAAGGTAAAAATAACAGTATGCCACCTGATTTTCTTTGCTCACTTACTCCAGACAGGAAATCAAAATCCGTAAGCATAGCAGCATACTTCATACTCTACCTTGAGCCATGAAATGGCTTTGCCTGCCTGCCGTCCTGTCTGCTTTTTGCAAGCTACAAACAGCTTTAAGTACATTCTGCCAGTGCCTTCCAAAACAATCATCCTCTAGACGGCTCACAAGTCAGTCCTCTGACTTAGCTTTGTACCACGCTCAGGAGAACAGCGTGTCTGCTTAAGAACCAGCAGGACAGTTGTGCATTCCTCCTCCGTGGCTGGCACAGAAACAAGCGGGACCGTGGCATTAATGAGCAGACCCCAGAGCACGCTCCACACCACCTCATCAGCTTGCTAATTCATCTGCCACCACAGGCATCTATTTCTTGTCCTTGCCCAAAATGGATAACATTGGGTTTTTTTGCGAAGAGTTGAGGTCTTTTCCCCTCTTTTTCTTTTTAAACTGTATCTCTTAAAGATGATAGGTCAGTTCATTTAATATAAGCTAAATGACCTTGTTGGCTCCCAAAGCATGGCTCAAACACTGCCAGAATAGTCAAATGCTTCCTCCTGCTCCGGCACAGAGCCAGGAATCACTGCTGCCATTGGTCTCAACGGCAAAGCACATTGAAGAAGCCCCATTCCACACAGTGCCACCTAGAAAATATCCACCTTGATTGGCTTTGCCTTAAAAGAAGATTTTTACATTCCCTAAGATCCTTAGCCATCCTGTTCTACCTTCAACTTGGTTCTAAAATAAAAACCAGTATCTTTACATTCTATATTCTCAACACAAACTAAACAGTTTTATGGGAAAGGAATATGTGATTTTGAAACAGATTGAACTAACTGCTACTGAAATAGATTAAATGTAAATGAAAACAAAGTTTTCTCAAACTTTGTGATATTTGCTGTACAGCAAAGAGGGAGCAAAACTAGTTGAGAGAAGAAACTCCAGAAGTAGCAAATACTGAAAACTTGACTCAAAAATGGACTAATTTTTCTATAGTAGCATGTTTTCCCCTCTGTCACCAAAGGAAAATTCAAAGGGACAGCAATTGGCAGTATCACTGCCAAGAAGTACTGCCAAGCTCTATTCATTTATATTAGCTTTGTTTTCACCTGAGACACACACAAAAAAAAAACTGTAAATGATAAAAATAACTAGTTTTAACAAGTGAGAAATATTACTCAGGTTTCCATTTTCTTACATTTCACCATAAAACATTAAAATATTGTCTTCCAGTATCCAGCATTTAACTTAAAATACCCGTCTTACATGTCCAGTGATTCATATTTTGTAGGACAAAATCCATGGACGAGAAGAATTATTTAAATTGAACTGTACATAATCCTTGATTTTTTTTCTAAGCTACTCCGTAAATTGGAAAATTTTATAGAAAGAATATTTCTTCAGCTATTCCCTATTCAAGACTATGCAGAAATTACACAAATGCCCATGTGACAATGAAATGCCTGTGGCTAGATGAACCACCACTGTAAATAAAGCAATTTAAAATTTCACAATAAATTACTTCAAAAGAATAAATGCTTCTCTAGTATTTAATCATATTATGGAGACCTTTTAGAATCACTGAGTTAACACTCCACTACATTGCCTTCTGCTGGAAAATACACAATTACTGCTGCCAGATTAAATATTCGCTGCATGTGTCAGTCCAAAAACTGGCTCTTTCTAACTTCTTAAAGATTCAGTGTATCAAGATCTGCGAGACAGTTGTAATGAAGTTTCAAGACAAAGCACAAGTGACTGATGCTGCAGCATTGAAACTGAGCAAGTGAAGATACTGGCAACAAATCCTGTTAAAATTTATTTCAAAATGCTAAAAGCACCTGGGATAGAATACCAGTTGAAATACAAAGTTGTTTTGACTGCCAACACATAAGGTTAACTGCAGAAGCCCAGGGAAGAGCCAGCCAGTGCCGAGAGCAGTAGTATGTGCTTTTCAGCGCACACTTTTATAAGTCAGATCCAGATGTTTTATCTAGTTCAGCACAAATATAAACTAAACAGACTTAAAGTTCAGAACAAAAGTACGACACTAATCAAACCTTGTTTAATATAAATATTGTTATGAGTAGAAGTTCTGGCTACCTGGCAAAATAACCTGCCTATAGTCAGAGTCCAAAAGTATCATCCTGTCCCAAAAATCTCTTGAAAGACAGGTACTTTCAAACGTTGCATCAGCTAGAATAACCACTACACACAGAAGCACCAGGCAGGCCCAAGTCTGCCAGCAGGAATCCGTGTTGCATGCAACCACAATTAACTTTGTAAGACACTCCACACATCCTATTGAACCTTACATTTCTTGAGATCCTTACCTGAATTAACAATGAATCACTGATAAAAAAACATCAAAAGGATGTATCTGTGACTGATTTTATTTTGCATCAAATATAGAAGGCTAAAATGGTAACAAAGTGCAATCTGTTGCACTACACAAGTCTGAAACACAGCACCTAGTAGCTGTCAACATATCAGAACTGAGATAAACTGATAAGATTTCTTGTTTTATCAGCAATAAGATAAATTGTATACCTAGATAAGATCTCCAATCAAAGCAAGTCACATGCTCAAAGCCAGCACTAACTCTCCTAGCAGCTTCACTGGCAGCATGCACAGGATCACAGTGTTTTAGCCAAATGGTGTCTATCCCCATTCCCACCCCTGCAGGTTTTGACAAAGAAATAACCTGGTTAAATACAAATCCCTAAAGGCAGATTGTGTGTGACTGATAACTAGTTACAAAAGGAAAAGTTACTTATTCACACTGTACATTTTAGAAGTTACAGCAGACCTTAAACTACCCTTGCATGAAATAGAAAGGTACTGGAAGAATAACTAAGTGATAATGAGGAACAAAAAGCAAGAGATGAAGAACAAACTGAAGGAGAAACAACTGAAAACATTAAAATACACATACACTTCCAGGAAAAAAGAGCAGTTCCTTCTATCTCTCCCCCCTCTACAATACGCTGTTGTTCCTGAAACAGGTTTTTACAAGGTAGACCTCTTGCCTATTTTATTTAAGCCTGAAAAATTTGTCAGTAGATTTCGGGAGCTACAGTAGAACACTGAATTATTTATATCTGTGAGTTCTGTAAAAGCTTCCCTGCATAGCTATAACTATTTTATCTCTCAAGGTGTTGAGCAACTGCAGCACTTATTTTCGTAGCTGAACTGCTGGTGGCGGTTGGCACTTACATGATGAAAAGGGCTAGGTACTGTAGACAGACATCAGCCAAACTGTGCCAAAATTACATGCAGTCTGAATAATCTCAGGCTTACAATATTAATAGCGTGAATGAACCAAAGTAAACAGCTGAAGATTTTTGCAACATTCCCTGCAACACAGGTATGATTAATGACTCACCTACTGTATTGTGTTCAGCTTTGCTTATTTCCTTCTGTGATTTCTGACAGAATCTGCTTTTTCTTCAAGCTAAGATCTGCGTATGAATGGAAAATTGTCTGCTATCAACAACTATTAACAGCACTCACAATTAAGTGTTCAACTGCAGATTCTGATCAGAATATGTTGTGTGTAATGCCCTTCCAGAAACCGATGTAAAGAAAAATAACGAGATTTTAATTTCACTCTCAAAGAGAGCTACTGCATTTCTAGGAGGTTACATTCAGTGCTACTTAAGAACAGCTCTGCTGACATTTGGATTAGCTGTATTGAAAAGAACGTCAGTGAATGGGGATGTTTCTCAATCTGTAGTTTCTCTACAAATGACAGCACTTATACTCCCATGTTAAAAGGAAAATTTCATTTGATCTATTACAAACTAAGACACATAGACATTTTTTTCCAAATCACTAATTACTCCCTCTAAGATGTCCTGAGTTCTCCCAACAGAGTAGGTGAAAGGCTCCTCAGAAACAAGCAAACTGACTTGCCTCCTTTAGTGTGACAAATTGTGATAAGGCAGCAATCTCTTTAATGGGTATGATATCAAATAAACCACTTAACATAGTCTCGTATGACCTTCAGGCATCAAAGTAAGAATCCCTTCATCCTCTACAGTTGCCAGAACAACCTTGACATTTCATCTACAAATCCTTTTACATTCTGTAGTTTCCTCTTCTTGATGACAGCGAGATTGACAATGTTCGAGGGTCCTATGCAGGCTGCTGACAAACTTTATTTGAAAATAAAGTACAATTCCTTTCAGTTTAGAGTAGCTGCCCTACAATACCTCCACACCCCACCCTCCCCTCCCTCCTCCCCCAAAAATATCAAGATTCACAGCAGATGAAACAGTTGCCAAATTTTAACTTTGCAGTGGACAAACAGTACCCTGCTACCACACAGCCAGTTTTTTCCTATTACTGCTGGGAGACAGAAATAGTTTGGAAGACTAGTCAAGTCACACTGGCTACACCCAAACTTCTACCCAGCACAGACATTGTATAAGTGATGCTGTCATGTGATGCGCCTTGGTTGCTGTAACGTTTCAATAATGAGTCACACAACAGCTTGGAAAATCCATAAAAAACTAGCAAAGAGCCTGATAAGGCCCAACTGAGCAAGAAAAGGCAGATCCAAACAATACAGAAAACAATCACCAGCATGCAACATCACAAAATTTATAAACAAGCTTCAGTGTTTAGTTTTGTTAAGTAAGTGAAACATTTATATAAAATGTTTAAATTAAAAATGTGTGTTTTGCTCCCTATGCACTAAAAATTCTACTTGCATGCTAACTGGGAAAAAACAGAGGTGTCAGTTTCTGAAGAGCTTTGGTTTTCAGCTTTGAAAAACAGTACTTCTGTCTTCAAGAGTTAAAGGTATGCCTTCAGATGTGGAGTAGTACGTAACATCTACCAAGTCTCAAGAAGACATCTGAATATTCTGAGGATCTGGACAACCAAGACACTGGCAGTGAGCATACAGTAAGGTAGAAGATGGTACAACCAGCTGCAAAAAGGAAACACAGGCATGAATCATAAAGCTCGAGAGATTAATATTAGTAGTAAAGTCATTTCCTTTTCTCAGAGTGACCCCAAAGGAAACACTCTGGTTCTGAGTTTCTTGTTTCTCCCTGTGCTCAGAATGGGAAGAAAACGTGCAAATTTAACAGGTACATCCCAGACAAAAGTGCAGATAAGAGACAAAACCCCAAGTATTCAAGTACACCAGTAACAGGCCTTATCAAACCTTTAACGACTATGGGAAGACTGGAAATAACATAAATCTTCATAAGCTTTCTGTTGATCTTAGTATAAAAGGATAAAGCACAGGCTAGAAGACACCATTACATTTTCAGCCTTTAGACCATACAGTATACATACAACAAAAGAAGTGCTTAGCATTTCTGTATCTACTATAAACACATTGCCTAGTTAACTTTTCTTTGACCTAAGAAAATTAACCCCCAAGCACTCATGCCAAACGGCTGGGAGTAGCTCTTTCACTGTTACACCACACCCATATCCATCCCACACAGGCATGCTTCCCATAAATTGGTTCTAGAAGAGACTGGCACAGAATTTTAAATTAATTATCTGGCATGGCTTTGTCACTGATGACTACTAGGGCAGACTAACTCTAAGCGATACACTTGAAATTTACTGTTCCCTAAAAGCACTCTTACTTACTGCGTCTAGTGTGTTCACTTTGGCTAAAAGCACGTGAGCCTCTTCATTAAGCTATTTAAAAATGAAGCTTGAAAAGCAACAGTTCGGCTCAGTTTTGTTGAGGTGCAGAGTTAGGCCGGTATTAAGTCAATAAAACATTTATGAGTCTCTTTAAAAAAATAGGTACAGAACCTCAGATTTGTAATGAGAATAGAGGAATTGAGAGCAGGAAAACACTGGTGCTGAAACTTTTTGCAGCAGTGTAGAAGAGCTGGTTGAGAAAGCAAGAGCAGAGAGATGATTGTAGCAGCAGAAACAAGGAAACTACCAAGTCTGTAAATTTTAAGAATTACAGATGAAGAAAAAGCATCAAGTTAGACTGCATCAAAACTCATCCTGAGCATTACTGTCTGCAGAATGTACACTTTAATTTCACACAATTAAAGCAATAAAGAACTAACATGAAAATAGCCTTTTAGGGAAAAAAAACAGCTTTTCTATTTAAATTATTTTCTTCTTGGTATTCAAGACATCCTGGTCTGAAGCCTTCTTTGCTGTTTGATCCTTAAGTGAAGTTACAATGCCGTTTGTTTTCAAGTCGCCATGAAAATTAATGCAATGACCAACTTAGAAATGCAATTCTCTGTTGATTCCAGCAGGAAGACAAGACAAGCTGTAGGTCTACAGATGGTAATTACCAAATATGGCCAAAAAACCCTAAACATCATCAAATGGGTCTACATCTACCCACTTTCCAATGCAAAGAGTCCACCTAAGTAAAGCAAATTCTGCATTTCTCTTATAGGCAAATACCGATCGCTCAGTTATTTATCAGCGCTGGCCTAGCATGAACTTTAAAGGCAGCCAGCCTTAGTCACATGTTAAAGTAAGGTTGTCCAACAGCTAATTCTAATAGAGAAGTTTTTCTGGAACAGACACAACAGAAATGATGCAGAGTATCTAAAGTGCACTGACCAGTTTTGAACACCTCCTTGAAAACTGTAGCATCCCCCCCTTGAGAATAATCAGCAATACTGTTACCTAGCTCCAAGTTATAGCTTCCTGAAAAAATGTCTCAGCTGTATTAAACAGCAACCAAGTTACAATGACAGTACCGAATTCTGAAGAATCACTGTCACATCATGAAACACTGCAATGCAATCCCATCAGTTTTAAATGATGAACAAATAAAAAACAAAAAGGAGCCAGCGAGGAAATTTTTTTTTTTATGTCAAAGTTCTGGTGAAAATTTACTTCTGTCAGTTGTTCAAAAACTAACTTTTGCAGAGTGTCAATTTGCCAAATTCAACCTTGACTACACAGGAGAAAGGTCAAGCACTGTCAGAAGCAGTGCTGCTCATAAACTAAAGATTCCAATGATTACCTATAATTATTCGCTACTTCTAAAATTTGAACTCTTAAGATTCATTTTGCATGTGAATTCAAACCAGAGAGCGCAAACAGGACAGAACAAATACTGAAATTGAAGTTTGACATTTGAAACCGGTCTCAATGTCACTTTGCCTTTCTCTTGACAAGGACACAGCACATGCTGAAATCAGGAAGTGTCTGTTTCAATGATCTTTTCTGTGAAAATGCAATACATATGCATGGGGCTTAGTTAGGTTTTAAAGGCACACAGAAAGTGAAAGGCACTACAAGCTGTTTCTCCAGCTTTTGGAGCCACAGGGCCTTACAGGCACCTACAGGTGAAATGCCAAGGCTGGGCCCTGATGCCCAGCACCCACAACACCCCATCCCAAAGGCAGGCTGAGCGAGGTGGGCGTCATGCTGCAGCAAAAGAGCACGAGAGCTTTCTTTTGAAACTGGAAAAAAAAACAAAAAAAAAAAAAAGAGAACTCACACTGACATTTACAGGCAGAAGCGGCTCCTTTGTCTGCACCCGAAGGCTCCGCTGAGCCGCTTCGCCATGTGCGGCTCCAGGAGGGGAGGTCGCGACACAGCAAAGCCGCCGCGGCAGCGCCGAGCAGGGCCCCGCCAGCACTTACCCAGCACATCTGCCGAGCGGTGTCGGGCCACGAAGCAGGCGTCATCCCCGTAGCACATGCCTTTCTTGAGGATGCCCTTACGGAAATCTTTACCGAAGCCACAGCTGGCTGTCACCAAGCTGTAGTCACGGGAGTCCGTCTGCGAGAGGCCGCCCAGGACTGCCCGGGCCACCAGCCTGCCATAGGAGAGCACCGAGAACATGGCGTGGGGCGCCCAACAGCCGAGAGCCAGGAACGCGGGGAGCCACCGGCGCAGCCGCCTCCTGACCTGCGAGCGCCCGCCGCAGGGAGCCAGCCTTCCCCTGCCCGCCGGCCGGCTCGCTTCAGCCCCCGCCGGCCCGCGTTGCCCTTCCTCGGCCCGGCCCCTCGTCCTTCCCCCCTCTCCTCGGGCCGCCTCGCCCCTGCGGGCCGGCTCCCGCCCTTCGCCGCCCCTCACGGCCGGGTTACCGGCAGCGCTTCCCCTCCTTCCCACCCCTCCCCCCCCCCCCGAGGGGGGCTCTGCCTCCTCCCCGGCCGGCCGAGTGCTGCCTGCCGGAGCCCTCCGGGCGCTCTCCCGCCGCAGTGGCGGAGCGGCTCGGTCAGAGCCGGCGGTTCCCGCTGCGCCGCCCCCGCACCCCGCGGACCGCGGCCGCCATCTTCGCCGCGCGTGCTGAGGCAGGCCCCGGCGCTCGAGCCCGAGGAGAGCGGGGCGAGGGGAGGGGGAGGTCAACCCCGCCCCTCCTCAAAGACGCTTGCGCAGCGGCCGGCAGCCACTCCCATTGGCTGGCCGCCGCACCTCATTTGCATGTTGCGGGACAATAACAGCCGGCGGCTCCCAGCAGCCCCCGCGGCGGCGGCTGCGGCACGGCGGCACCGCCTACCACCCCCCCCCCCCCCCCAACCTCCCCCGGCCCTCAGCGCCCCGGTGACCCGGCTCCGAGCCCCTCAGCTCCCGGCCGAAGACGGTTCCCCGGATTGCTGCGTTTTTACCTGTGATTACCCCAATTACGTTTTCGACACGAGCAAGGCTGTGCCTAACCCAAATACTCGCCCTACATGCCCATATCGGGCCGCGTGTCTTGCGTGCTCCAAATAACTTGAAGGGACTCGGTGGCCGTTTGTACTTTCTGGCTATTAAGGACGGTTATGTGAGTCATACCACACAAAAATTTATTTTTAAAGGACAACTCCTCCTGTTTTCCCCGGCAGGCTGCAGTTAGGGATAGAGCCAGCTCACTACAGCACGTGATGTTTGTGTGGTTTCTGTGGAAATTCATGAAAGTGCAGAGCATTAATCCATTTTGGGTAAGGGACATGAAATACCAAACAAAACCCTCATGAGAAGTCCACAGTAGGCAGTCATCACACAAAACCCGCTAAAATTATTTTAATTGCAGGTGAGCATGATACAAAGTCAGTGAGACGACTTTCAGGTGTTTCCCCCTGCACAACTTTAAGACCTCAACACTTTCAAAGACCCACCATGTTCAAAAAGACCCAATTCCTCATCTTCTGCAGCCTGGTTTTCTGTGCTGCTTGTAAGAGCAAAATGGCTTGTCCCTTTGGAAGCTCCTAGCAGGTAGCTCTGCACAAGGCGTGCAAATTCATATAATGCTTCCAGATACACGTAAAGAGGCGGCTGCTGCGTTATATAACCCAAGATACGTAAATAACAAAACAACAGGCAGGTGTAAATAAAGCAAAGGTGGGTGTGAAACAAGCCCGAACTAACTCCAGTGAAAGGAAAATCGCTGTGGCATCCTCCACGGATCCAGCCCATGGGGAACATTATTGAAGCACCATCATTATAATAGTGTTAAGAGACAGCAGGCATTTCACTTGCTGTGGATCTTGATGGAGACAATATTCCTCCCCTTTAAACTGCTAAAGGCTTAAGCAATGCATGAAAATTTTCCGTCTACAGTTAAATTGTATCCAAACTTATTAAAAAATTAATCTGCCCATTAGAATGGGGAGAAGGAAAGTGCAGAGAACATAAAGAGCAGCCCAGGCCCTGGCTTGGTGAATTAGGAAACTGCCGCGCACTCAAATTTACCAACATGCTGGAGATAAGGGTGTGCTGCTGCCAAGGCCCATCAGGGTGTGTGAGATGACAAACAGTACTTGAAAGGTGGCTCTCCTCAGTGGCAAACACTGCCTCACACCCTCCTGTATCTCTAGCAGGAAAGGGAAGCACATAATTTTCAGGGTTTCCCCCAGAGTCATTCCTTCCCTCCCCTCATTCTTCCTGCTTCTCATCCAGGTCCTTTGTAGGAGAAGTCCAGCCTGGGTTAACCCCTTTTTCTTTAATGCAGCAGATTTTAATACTGCCTACAGTGCCAGGGTGCCCGGAGGCAGCTCTGGTTAGCGCAAGGTGATCTGCTCTCCAGTCGCTGAGTGTGCATCACCTCTCCACCTGCAATCCCCCACCACACTTCCAACTAAACCCGCGTGCCCCGTGCCTTGTCACATCGTGTTTCGCAGAGTGGGACGGGATGCTCTCCATGCCGCTTTGCCCATCAGCCACGGCTCGCAGATTGAGAAACACTGCATGAGCACGAGGCTGTCAGACTTGGCAGAGCATGACTGTGTTTCAACCAGGGCTCCCAAGCCAAGGCATACTGTGAGTGGTCCATACTCCTCCATCCCTGGTCACCCACCCAGCCAAGGAAGACTAGATCATTTATGTGATAATTAATAACCTTTGCCAAATTCTTTCACTCCTGCATGATGACGCTGTACCCAGATGAAAAATTGCTATTGCTTTTCTTTCAGAGGTCACTTGGCTCCTGTGAGACAAAAAACAATCATTTTTAACGAACTAAGACAGACTGGGTTTTCCCCACTGTTCAGTGTAAATCCTGATAGACCTCCCTGTAAACTCCTCCCAGTACATGCCCTGCTGGCTCACTCAGTATTAGTCTTGTACCCTGAGGGTCGATATCCTGCCAAGTGATATTTGTTTAAAATTCTCAAATGCACAAATTTGGCACAGAAACTGGGGCAAAGGGCATCCCCCTGGTTACTGCAGTTGGGTGGAATCTTCCCACCTCAAAGTCCAAGATCCATTTACATCAGTTCATTTAAGCTGCAGAACAAAATGAACTCTCCCTGCTAGGCTTGCTCAGACAGACTAATAAATGCAACCAGGAGTGCTAGGCAGAAGTGCTGTACAATGTAATCAACTGTTGAAGGCACAAGCAATTATACAGCTTGTATTAAGACTGATTCACTTGTAGCTGACGTCAATCCTCCCTCCCTACTATCTTAGCCTTGGGATTGGAGTATGATAAATATTACCTGTAATGCCATCTGCCGTACAGAAACAGCCCAGGCTTCTCACTATTTATTTAAGGGCTAATGTTGTGCTAGTCCAGAATGCAGTTTATTTCAGCCTGATTTGACTTTGTTTTGACTCTAATTAAAAATGCCTGTCCACTTGAATTTTTAAAGTGATCTGTCAGAGAGCAAAACCAATGTTTGCCTTGAAAACATGAAGTTCAAGACAGCATAGTTAGCATCAAACAGAAAACTACTGTGAAAAGGACAATACCAGATTTATCCTCATGGAAGAGACAAGAGAAGGTGCAGAATTAGAAGATCACCATCTCAGGATGGGGAGTTAGGGCCTCCCAAATCCTAGATGTCTGAAACCCTGGGAGAGTTGATTGATCTAGTGTATCAGTTTCTCCCTCAATTCCTTTAGAACCTCACCCAAGTCTTTCAGCTTCTCTATGAAATGCAAAATATGACCATTTAATGGTGCCTCTGTCTTTTGGTCAGTGGTAACATTGTTTTGAATGGCATCAAGCTGAAAATACATACTTAGATCAAGTAATGCACATACAAAACTGTTTCCTCTTACAATTTTCTCCTAAAAGTTTAAAATTACAGAAATTACACCACTTCCTAGAGAACATCTTTCACGATAGTAACTGTTTAGCACTTTTTATTACTAAAAACTTCCTAAAACTAAAACCTGAGGCAATTAAAAGCCTTTTATGTGGTATGTTCAGAAACAGCAGCCAACAAATAGCCTGAACACCACAACCATCATAATGTATGAAGACCATGGTTAGTAATCTAATTCTACTTGTGAGTTAGTTTAAATGTCCAAAAATAAAATTGAACTGTTTAATCAAAAGGATATGTGTCCATGGGCAGAATTTCTGTCATTGTCCCGCTGCCGAGAAACATGTTGACTTTGCCAGCTGACTCACTTAGATTTGCATATTCATAGCTATGTTCAGAAGATACTGGTGCACTACTCTGAAAACTCTACTGTCTTTTGTCCTGAGGAACAGCAATAATTTTGTATGCCCAAAAGTAATTAAATTATTTAAACCTCAAGTAATTTTAAAAGGGAAGGGCTGTGGTGAAAGTTATACAGTTGAAAATTTAACTGCATTATTAAAATAAGCTTGGATAAGAGAAACTGAAATATAAGTAGCACTTTTTGCTTAGTCTTAGCGTTTCATAAAAGGCATCTGTGTTAGTTTTATTTGTGTTTCTAATCAGTCACTTCCCCTGGTTTTAGTGTACTTGACAGGGCTTAATCCCACAATGTTTGGATTGCAAATGCCACACTATAATGCTTAAATGTGTATAAAAATCTTGCTGCTTAAAATATAATTAAAATAGTAATACAGTCAATCCCTTAACATGTTTTTTAATAGACAGCAATCTACTGCATCTTAAACTGCCTGAATTTTCATTTTACAGGACCTCCCACATGAGGATCACAGTGCCCTTTTAAATTATTAATTAACTCATGTTGATAGGATAAATTAAAATCTCTGTGATGGAGAACATGCATTATTTATTAATGTCCTGATCTTGTCCTACATACTGCAGAGTTTGCTCTTTGGAACCTGCTTCAAAAGTCTCACACAAGGATGTTTTTTGTGGTGGTGGTATTTTTCAAATGGCTTTTCTTATACTTGGCTTTTGTCTCACCTTTCTTCTCTGTATGACAAAGGTGGGGTTTCTTCTACTTTCTTTATGTTTCTTTCTGCAGGGACTTTACTTACTGCATTCTGTTTGTGTGTATGTATTTCTGGACAGGCTTCATGACTTTACTGAACTATCACATCGTACAGTTAAGGAATTCAGAGTTAGTCACTTAAATATTAATAAAGAAGAAACTGAAGTGACACAAGAGCTATGTTCACCCTATTTTCTTTTATAGCAACTATTGGAGATGGGTTTAGGTGAACTGTTGCTCTCAGTAAAGCCCTAACTTACTTATGAAAAAAAAAAAAGTCATGAGGAGAACAGATTAATTACATTATACTTTGCTATTGAACAGTTGCCCAGTTCTATTCTATTTCAGTGGTAGGTGCAGTAAGAAATAATACCTCCTTATTCATCTAGCTTCTGCCCACATGCATTCAGGGTGCAATCTGTGCTTGGGAAGAGCTCACAGATTTCAGCAAGTCTTCGTCTTCACCCAGGAGTCTCGTCCCTTGTGCACCATCAGCTTTGCAAAGTAATTCTGGATGCAAAAAGAATGTATTAAATTATATTTTCCCTTATGCATTGTCAACAGCCCTTTTTACTGATTTTAAATGCAACAGAAATGTGTAAACTAACAAGTAGGGGTGCTTTAATATTATCTCACCTCAAGACACCACAGTTGAACAAGTGATACAGAAGACAGAATATGACCGGTGATGATAAGCAATAAATCAAACACCACTCTCCCTCCAAGCCTGCAAACAAAATTTCAAGTTTCAAAATCTGCATGACTTCTATGTAGGAGAAACATCTTCATCCTTGTTAACTGACCAGATGTAGCATATGGGAGATTAATCAAGGAAGTTCAAGGGATTGTAAGCCCCTAAATCAGCTTTACCTGGAGAGATGTCTGATCTCAAACACCAGTCACCGAAGGAGAGAGCAGCCATGTGCTCAAACTGTTTCTTCCTGCAGGCTCGCCTCTCCCAGCTGGGACAAGCACCACAGCAATCCAAAAGAAAACTCCAAAATCTGTTTTTCCCTCAAGCAACAGCATGCAGAAACTTCACTTACTTAACAGTGACAAAAGTAGAGAGCTTCACTTGTCTTTTAGCATGCAGGAAAGCAAGCCACCCTTTACACAGGGAACTGATCCCTTGCCTAAGGCTTCCTTTTTCTTGAAGCTGCAAGACTTCTAACTGCTAGCTGCAAATAGGTCCTCAGCTGACTCCTACAGCCTGCGCCTATCCACTTTATTAAGCAGGGCCAAAACTAGAGTTCTGTATAGCGCATGAGTATCTGTCCTCAACGTAGCTATGAATATACCAATCTAAGTGAGTAAACTGGCAAAGTCAACGTGTTTCTCTTCTGTGGGATAATGAAAGGTACTGCTGTTTAAAGAGTCCCATGATTTCCTCCAAATATAGGCACATATTCTCTTCTATGGCTGCAGTCAGTCCAGGCACAGTGTTAGTAAGAAGCAAAAGGAGCCCTGTGATGCCATTTTTACAGTCACTTTTCAAAATGGAAGTGTACTTAAAGTTACTGTTACTCTTTGAGCCTAAAAAATAACCCCAACACTAGTAACATAATTTAGGAGACCTTAGCAAAAGGAAATGCATAAATGTTTCCAAGTGAATCAAAATAATCTCAGAAACAGCAATGAAACAAAGAGACTAAACACATAATTTCTTCTTCCCCAAAGAAGAAGGCAAATACAGTAAGTTTGAGTTACATTTGTTTTAACAAAAGGAATGCAGAATGGAGACTCAGGTGAAACTATTACTGCATGTATGGCACACAGAGGCCTGGGGTACAGTGGAGTACACTGGATTCTCCTCTTCACATCACTGTATCCTTAGAAGAATGAGGTCTTTCCAAGGGAAAGGATGACTCCAGGATTTTGCCACATGTTATGAAGCTATTTCAAACCCATCCTAAATTACCAGCTCTTTGGTAATATCAAATGACCTTGGTAGCCTTGTACTGAGTAAGGCAGACAATCATCTGTCTTGCATAACTCACCGGCACCTTTGTGAATAATCGGCTCTTGTGCAGCAGAGGACAGCTTGAAGAAGTGACAAACACGCTGTGTGCACTGTGGAATTATTTCAGTTTTCAATAGAGGAAGCTGGAACATCTCCAACACACTAGATTTGCAAGCCGGTGTGAAGTTGTGCTGTTCAGAAGTTGTGACTGGCAGCGAAAGCAGTCAAGTGCACTAAACATAAAATAGAACATGCCTTCTCGTGGTCTTCAAGCTTTTGTCAGCTTCCCTTCAAGACTATAGGAATGAACCTGGTCAGAAAAAATAGGAAACACTGTGTAACAATGTACTTGTCAGTGTGATGCACGAACAAACGTTGTAAAGTTGCATTTGATGAGATAATGCAGAACACAAACTTCGGCAAGTTTAACTTTAGAAAGTAGTCTCTTGGTTGGAACTGAAGCCTGGATGTTAACATTTCTAAGCTAACCATAAGGAACCCTGATCAATTAGTCACTCCCTTACTGTTTTTCCAAGTTGGCATAAAAATACCTGTATATATTGCAAAACTAACAAGATTAATGAATATGCACACTTGAGTATCAAGGATCCATGGCATTTTCAAAAGGAGAAAGAAATTGGTAAGACTTTAAAAATTAGTTTGAGAAAAGCTATTATAAACAAAGTTGCAATAATATGCTAAACATAGGATTTTATAGCTCACAAGAGGTCCTTACATTTTTTTGTGTGTATGGCCTTCCAACAGCATTTGTACCCAGACCACCTACGTGACTTACATGTAGGTCACTACACCTTAAACTTTTTCCTACTGGCCTCGGCTCGGTACTGAGGGGCCACTGACCCCCACGCTACCGCCGCGCTGCGCTCTTTCTGAACGGGCTGAGGCGCGCGGGGCGGCCTCACGGCCCGCCATATCCAGCCAAAAGCCCGGTGCGTGCCCTCACCCCCATCTCCCCGCGCTGAGGGGAGATGGCAGCCCAACCGCCTCCGCCGCCCGCCATGCTGCCCCTTTCCCAGCATGCCCTGCGGCCGCAGCCCCCTCCCCTCTTGTTTCCTGTGAGGCCCCGGGAAGGGTGGCCCACACCCTTCCCGTGATGCTTCGCGCTTCCTAGTAACCGCGCCGTTGCTAGGGGCGGCCGCCATGGCCGCGGCGCTGAGGTTTGGGGTTTTCCTCCTTTTGTTGCCGCTCTGGGTAGCGGAGTCCAGCGTAGATCCTGTCGCCAGCGAGGCGGGCTCCGCAGACTCACCGGAGATCCGCACTGCCGCCGGGGCACGGACCCGCAGCGGGCCGGCCCCGGTCACAGACGGTGGGTGCCCTGTGGGTCGGGGTCTGCGGGGCACCGGTGACTTCCTGGGCTCACGGCCTCTCCTGGGCCTCCAGTCTCCACGGGGGGCTTGGCCCTCCTCCGGCTCGCATTGCAGCTGCCCTGTGTCTCCCTGGAGATTCGACAGGGCTGTGCTGCAGCGGAGCTCTGAGCACCCCACCCTCCACTCCAGCCAAGGCTTGGAGCCTTCTCAGGGAGGCTCAGCAACACCCTCCAGAGCTTCGGGGTACTGGGCACGCAAATTCCAGCGTGCACGGGCCTGTGCATTCGTGCTGACAGAGGACGGGCTCCCCTACCACCCTCCAACACCCTGCTCTGAGCCCAGCGGGCAGAGCTTGGCCCTGCACAGCCGACCCAGCCTCACCCCTGCTGTGCTCAGAGAGCTCCACTGACACACATTTCTGCACACAGTTTGCCTTGAAACTCCTAATTCAGCCCTGGCTCTGTGGATATATAGGGGTGCTACAGCAATATAGATCACAACTTGTTATTGTGCTGTCAAGGTGTTTCCCACTGTCTTCTAATTGGCAGGTATACTTTTATTGATCTTTTGATTTCCCAGTGTTGTTGCCATCGGTTCAGCTTCCCTAGATTACTTGCCAAATTAAACACGTCCCACTGTGTACCTCCTTAGGGAAGAGACTTAAATCCCTGATCTCAGAGACACAGCATTGCAATCTAATCATCTGTGTTTAAACTTCTCTTGTTTACGAGGTGAGCTAAGGATTCCAGTGCTAAACTGGAACAGTCAGAACTTCAGAGATTCCAGGAAATACCTGGATACTGTTCAGATGGTCAGAGAGCATCCAGGAGGCTATAGAGAAACAGGCAACGGTCAAGCTGAAGTAAAAGAAGCACTAGTTATGAAAATGAGTGTTCTTTGAATGTTTTGCCTGTGGAGCACTGGTCTTAATTTTCTTCATTCTGTACTATTCTTAACTCTAGATTTATTATAGAACAGCAACTCTCAAAAACAGTTCAGTAGAATAATATCTGTTCTTTGAATTTATAAACTTGAGAACCTAAGAATGTTTTAAGAAGTTGCCAGATATATTTTATTGAGAGAGTTTATAGTATTGCTAGCAATTACTTTCTGTATTATTATAATATTTCACAGTATCTAAAGACAGAAAAAACAAATAAGTCAGCTATGGTTATGTTGGTACATGTGGAAAATATATTGCTGGACCCTGGGACATAATGCTTGTAAACATCTCACTGCTCTATCACATCATTTTTGGTTTTGTTTTTTGTTTGTTGTTTTTTGTTGTTTGTTTCCCCCCCCCATAAGCTGAAACAAGTAGGTAAGCATACCTGACTTGTATCTCGTTTTTTTCCTCTGCAGAGCTGAGTATATTCTCATACATTCAAAATTCCTATTAAGTTGCCTTTTTTGATGTCACAGGGAACGCACCATCAGACTTTAGTATGCCCTTGGTTTTGTTATTGTGTTCCAAATAGATTTGCTAAGTAGGAGAAAAGATGTCTTTTAAAAATGACTTAAAAAAAAAGCACGTGAATTTGGCTGTAGACTTTTGACCATTGTCAAAAATAAGGCGGCGTGAAAAATGAAAGTGTTAGGGAACATGCTGTTATGTGTAAAGTTCCAATTCTAATTCTAATTTAAATCTCTCCTCCAGTTGCCAAGCTGTGTGTTTGTGATCTGTTGGTGGCACAGTGTGATGTAAATTGCTGCTGTGACCCTGATTGCAGCGCAGCCGATTTCAGTCTCTTTACTACATGTTCAGTTCCTATTGTCACGTAAGTGGATAAATAGCTACATGAAATACAAAATCTCATTTTATTTGCTGCATGTGTTTGTAAGGGCTCTATCCTCTTCTCTACTAATTCCTAACCCCCCTTCCTGTTGCCATCCTAACTCCTGCCTGCCCTTTCACCAGTCCTTCCCGCACTAGGCCTGCAAACTTTTGGCCCCAATCAGGTAGAACAGCAAATTGGTCTCCCACCCCAGTTTCTCATTCACTTATTCCCTCTTTTCTAAACTTGTGCCCCTTGCTTTTCACCTCTTTCTCTGTGCTGCTGTCTGTGGGCACTTAAGTGGTGATGCCTTCTGTTGGGGGAAGAATAATGGATCTTCAGACTTTCATCAATATAATGCAGTGTCTGGAAGTTAAGAAAGCTAATACCATGGGACCATCTGGCCACCTCCACAGGTCATCAGCAATTTATCAGTAACCTCTTTCATTACGGTTTATGATACCAGGTAGAAACTCGAGCAATTCAGGGCTTAATGAAGTAGCGCGAGCATCATTCTTTATCCTCGTTTTACAAGTCAGCATGCCAGCCTGCTGCCTCACTGCCAGTCTGGCCCTTTATAAACAGTAAAATGTAACATTATATCAATAAAGTAATGCCGATAGTTGTTTCCTTGCTGTTTACAGTTGATCTGAAAACACCTTCACCCAATTTCATCTTCTCAAAAAGGAGTTCAGAAAGCTCACTTCAAAACTATAATGTAAAAAATCTCTTGATGACTTCTCAGAACAATAAGTACAGCTCTTCAACCCACCTCCTGCATAAATTATGCCAATCTGAACACTGGGGTTTATTCTTGGTGCTTTGGAATTTGAATTAGCAGTCATCCCAGACTGTGGTTTCTTATTGTTCTCGCACATGATGACTACTGCTACCCATTTATAGATATTTATATATATCAGAAAGGTCTAATCAACGCCTTCCTGAGTGACAGTTTAATTGTCTTGGATGACTATTCTTTCTTTGTCAACTAAAAATGTGTAAAATTAAATTGTGTTTCTTTCTCAAAATTCTTTTGTGTAAAATGTTCGTTTTGCATGAAAATCCATGGGATTTTCAACGACTGCAAGTACTGTGGATCTCATTATTTACATCTAGATTTATATACATTTGCATAATTGTATTAGTTACTGAAAAGGTTTGATCACAATTAAGAGGCTATGTGGTCTCTGAAACAGCAGAAAAAGTGTGTTTGATTTATGATGTGAGCCTACTAACAAATGGTTCACCTCATGGAAACGTTTAGCTCTATGTTTAAAAAGTAATTTTCTAAAAGTCATTTCACTTCTTCGGTATCTGTCCTTGACTGCTTTAACCCTGCCTGAGTACCAGTTTGATAGGGATCATCATCTTGTATTTCTAGCATGTAGGACACACCAGTACTCTTCAGGGTATGAACTGGCACATTCGCTGTGCAGCCTACTGCACTTCTGGGCTGTTGGTGATGAACCATGGCACATCTACAAACACCTTTCCTAGGCTGGATGGGTTATTTCACCTCCCTGTTTCTCACTCTGTCACTTCTTTTATGTGCATGTCAAGTAGGACTTTTTCCTGCTTCCCCCGCAGCACCTGAAAGTGAATATTATTCCAGTATTCACAAAGCTGACCTTTTTTCTGGTTTACATGCCATCATGTTACCCTAAAGGTCATACTTCCCACTTGCGTTACATAAATAAAAGCGCTTCTGAGTCGTGTATAGCTGGTGGTGCACCCTGTATTTGTGGTGTCTCATACCATCTGGATCCCATCCAAATTGTCATTTTAGCTCTAATATTATTACTGTCAGGCTCTTCCCTTCCCCCTGGTCTGTCTCTTACCTTTCCTTCATGTTGCTGCTTACACAATTTCCTCTGCTAGATAAAACATGTTGGAGAATTCTTTTATTTATTACTAATCACACAATATAAAACAATATAAACATTCTAAGGCGGCACAATTGCTATCTAAATTGTGTTAGAGTAATCTCTAGTGCTTTTTTTGATGCTGCTTCAATACAAAAAAAGAACTTTAACATATGGTCAGTACTAACTTCTAGTGGGTTATTGATTTTATTATTATTGTTTGCAGAGGTGACAACCGTCTTTGTAGTCAGAAAGCTGCTATATATTCACTTGATGTTGAAGCAAATCCCCCAGAAAGGATATTTAAATTAATTGACCAAGTCAATCCCAGTGTTTTTTGCATTCATGCTACAAACTGTAAGTAGAGTTGTTGCCAATATTAAGCATTGTGCAATATTAAGCATTTTTATAAGATTTTTAGGTACCAGAAAGAGGCTAAAATTAAAAGTAACTGAACCTGTCAGAAAACTAGTTATTCTGTATGCTCACAGTCCTTATGTTGTAATCCCTTCACTTGTGAAACTATGGAGTTAAAACATCTCATACTATTAGTAATCTTTATTGGAAAAAAAAAAGGGGGTTGGGTTTAGTTTTTGTTTAAAGAATTTAGCATCAAATAAATCACATTTGAAGTTGTTTCATGGAAAACCAACTCCTTCCTGATCCGTTACTGTAAGTATGTAATAGTTACCAGTGCTACAAATCCTTTATGCCCAGCTTTGAACTGACTTGCAGGGAATTTAAGAAGTGATCAATACAATATTCTCTTAATTATGACTATCATCTGAGTACTTAGCATGGAAACTGTAGACGTTAATTAGCATGTCTTTGTTTTGGAACATATGCTGTTAGAAAACATGATTTTGAAAGAAAGGGACTTACCTTTTTTCTTAAGTTTACATTTGTGCTTTCATGGATCGGGGTGAAATGATGAATTAAGATATCGCCTAGCTCTTCTCATAGAGAAAAGAGAAAGTTTTTCTTAAAGAAAAGTTGCATTGATATTATTCTGTAACTGAGTCTTGAACAACTCCAGAAGGAAAAATTGTTACTATATACTGTT